AGCAAAATACAATAAACTTATTGAACTTATGTATGTATGTATGTGCTACTCGTATACACATATGTATATGTATGTACAAGTTAGGTATGTATGTGTAAAATGTTCAAATAAGACATGAGAAATAATAAAGGCACTCGGCCATTGTAAATTGAGCTTTCAATGAAACCACAACATTCGCACACACACACACACATACACACACCAACGACAGCCAAAAGGTTTGCATGAAGCCTCTTTTTATAGTCATTGTTTTTTTTTTTTGTTTATTTATTATTATTTTCTCCTCAATGAACTATGCGCTGCGAATATTTAATTGCATAATAGCGCAACAGTAACACAATGCCGTTAATCATCAGCGTAATCGTCGTGATTGTCATCATCATCTTCCTCATCATCATCATCATCATCGCCATCATCTTTATCGTCATCATCTTCTAGAGCTGCTAATTAATATTGAGACAGCAGCTGAACTAATGTGCCATGGCCAAGTCAGTCGAGTGCGCTCACAGATTGCCAATCGAGAGAGCGACAGTGCGAGAAAGAGAGAAAACTAAAAATCAAATCATAGCGCAAAAAATAAGCAACAAATGAAAACTGAACGATTACTGCTTGCATCATGTAATGTACAGCAACAACAATAACATTATATAATTATGCAACAAGCATGCTGTGTGTGGTGGTGACGAAGCGAAGGAGGTGGGGCGCTGGGGATGAGGGGATGGGGTGCTTGGGCAAGGGTAAACACACGCTTTGCGGCACGTTTCGTTGCTGGCCAACATTTTCCAACTTTGTTGTTTTTGTTTTGTCTTTTGAGTCCATTTGTTTTCATTTGGTTTCAATTTCTTACTCGAAATGGCGCCGTCTGTCCATCACTTGCTTTCGCAGCAATTTGCGCCAAAACGTTAGCAACGATGCGGCACCAGTAATGAGAGAGGAGTAAGTGAGAGAGGAGAGGAGTGGAAGGTGCAAATTTTGTGTGTGTATAAGTAATAAAGCGAAAGCGCAACGTGCAAAAATCACAATAAAAATTGCCTGCCAAACGAAATGGAAGCACTCGAAGACGGCGTTGGCGCTCGATCCAACTGTTGATCGAATTGGAGCAGCATGGAGAAGCAAAGCGGAGTGGAGAGAGTGAAGTGGAGTTGAGTGACTCAAAATGTGTGTGTTGTGTAAAGTAAAGCTGAGACGAGCGACCAGCGACTGACTGACCAACTTAACATGCTAAATGAATAGTTTATTGAGTGACGACAGAGCACTGCGAATATTTCTCTAATTTCCCTCTCTCTTTTTTTTTTGCAATTCTTCTATCCATAACGCTCGCAGCGTATGGCAGATATGTATGTATGTATGTATGAACACACTATGTGTACTGATTATGCATGGCCAACTGGACCGGATTGCATTCAATGCAATCAAAAGCAAATCAATTATCGGGCCAGCTGTCTGTCTGACTAACGAACTGACTGACTGATGGACCGTCTCTAAGCACGCACTACACACCAACTGTAAGGTGTGTGAAATAAGTCTCTGGGACAAAAATATTTTTTATTGTAAAAGCTATATGGCATTATTTTTTTACCTTTTTTTCTGCTAATATTTAAAACCATCTTCTCTCTTGCTTGTAGCAAGAATTCTCCCAAAACAACGTTAATTTTTACCGCTACTACTTACAATAGCTTGCAGCTTCGTTTGCTAGAGCGAAAAAAGTAGCTGGGACAAATAATAAAAAAGCGGGTTGAAATTTTATTATTTTATTATTTATAACCTTAATTATATGGGATTCTACTGGATTTATTGAGTTTTGAAGCATTTTTGTTTTCAATTTTAGCCCATTCCAGGACAATAGCTACTATAAGATCCTTTAAAGTGCTAAGCTTTCTTCCATTGGCCGAAACCTGATTTAAGAGAGCTCCCCAAAGGTTCTCCATTGGATATACATAGCTCTTGGTTTATTGAAAAATATTGAAATTCATGGCAAACGCAAACGTTTTGGCTGCCCCTTCTTGGTACGACGAAAACAAATTTTTTTCAGTAATATAGAGCACCAGCCCGTCCTAAATTCATCATGAACTTAATCTAACGATTGCCACACGACGTGTAAAAATAATTTCAAGCTCATCATTGGATTCGTTTGCAAAAAAAAAGCACTCTGTCAAATAACCCATTTTCATTAATTATTGCTATAGATGTCTGTTTAATTTACTAGTATTACTACATAGTACCCTTTAGTGTATCCGCAATCACCACAATTATGCAAAAAGGCGGGAGATTGATTGCGGATAAACAGCACTTACAATAACAAGTATACGAGTACACCGCACTTATCACTTTCACATATCACTTATGTTTATTCATTTGCAAACATTCCGAATGAATATATACATACTTGTACATATGTATGTATATATATTATGAACATAAAAACTGCATTTAGCGAGGCTCGTTTTTCAACTGTCCCCATCAATCATGGCAGCAAATTCACTTCCCTTTTTTTCCTTCTCATACTTGCTGTTTTTGCCGCTGTTCGCCATTTTGTACGCCATTTTGTTTTCTGTATTCATTTTCAGCTGTGCACAATTTTGATAATAAATATGGTTTTAGTGTCTGAAACCATCTGCATGTGTGTGTGTGTGTGTAAACACTTAACACTTTGCATTTTATGGCCTTTTGACCGTCCCTCGTTGCTGATGTTATGTTGTTGTTGGTGTTGATTCAGGATCTGCTGACATGCCAGCTTTTCGCACACATTCCATAAACGTTGCTCACTACGCGACCCATTTGTTTATTTAATTAAAATTGCAGCGCACGTAACTAATTCAATTATACAAATGCAATTTGTACAACGGAAATTAGAGTGCATTTCCCAATTTCCATACACCATCAAGGGCAGTCAATCAATGGAGCTGTGGCAGCTGATTTTAAATTGATTAATTGCTTAACATTGTATAGTACATCTTTAATTGAAAGTTGTTAGGCTGTCCAGAGATGGCCAAATTGTATGAATATGTTTCAAAAATAGTTAAGATTGATCTATTAAATGACAAAAATAAAATTAAGCTTTCAGTAATGGATATCGTATTCCCAATTGGAGTGTTAATAGAATTTAAAACCATCACCAAAGACACTATTTGTAAATATTTGTTTGATTTCTTCTACAAATGTCAGATATACGAGTATAACAAATAGACAAGATGCTTTCCAATCAAACAAGGGATATATTTGTTGACCAATTTCTCATTGACATTTAGAAAATGTTTTCGGACTCAACTAGAAATAATTACTCATACTCTGTTTGAATGTTCTATACCTCTATTTACTTCCAATAATTATGTAATATTTCGAATGTGCTAAATATTCGCAGCAGCTTTAAAAATATAAAAATTTTCCCTTTTTAGTACTGCTCATTCCATTAAGAAACTTTGATGTTTAATTTATTACAGAAACTGAGATACTTGTAAAATTTAAAATTCGGCCCCTAAATCGATAAAAAATAAACTGTGCCAAAATAAAAAGTCTACTTTTATTGCTTTTTGTCAATCTTGAAAATTCAGTTTTTTCTACATTCTTTACTTGTATATCCACTTGATTTTATTATTTTGTTATACCTAGTGTTGATATTATTGTGAAGTAATGAATAATGAATAATTTATTAGATCCATTGACACTCAACTTATATCACAAGCCTTGACATAGTCCAGTACAACCAATACAATTTGTATTTATCTCAACCTTGTGCAGAATGAAATGACTTGGGAATTACAGTCTAAAGTAATGAGTCATCCAAGTTACTGAGTTTTTAGAGCTCGACTACTCCGAGCGTGTGATTTCTCATGCCTCTATTACAGTCTAAGCTTCTCTTGAATGTCTTTATTAATCGCAATTGGAAAAACTCAAATGGACTTTTTCTTGAAACTTCAAGAGCATGAAAAAGTTGAAAATATCAATAACATAACTCCTGCCTTAAAACGAGAAAAATGCACAATATTTTCCCACTTGCGGGTCAAATTTGTTAGCCTGGTTTCTTCAGTGACCTGAGCTGTGCATTAACGATTTGGTCGGGGAATGAAGCGAATACTCGTAGATAGCACAAACCGATTTATTACGTAGCCTACTAGTCTATACTCCCAAATGTAAGCATGAAATATGTTTATATATCTGTACGTATGTGGAGCACTAAATCCCAGTGCCCCTAGAAAGCAACTAATGCATCATAATGGTACGAGTATGCTGTGAATAGCGCAAACACACATGAGTTAATATGTATGCACACACTAACTACTTGTATATACAAACTAACAGCTTCAATTAGAATTTGCGCATAAATCCAGGCGACGGCATATTCATTCAGGAAGGGCGGCTGGCAGACAGATAGGCAGACGGGCAGATGGGCAGATGGGCAGACGGGCTGGCAGAGTGTCAGAGAGTGGAGCTGTGATAGTCAGATGCAGTCTCTGCATTTCCGAGCATTCGTTTTAATCCTTTAATGTGCCCGAGCTGGAGCTCGAGCCGTAGCTTTTGCAGGCGCGTCTGTGCTACGCCAAATCCATTATTTTTATCATTTGGGCCGTACTCGCGCAAAAAGCCCGTCCGTCCTAGGACCTGGTGGCGCTGGTGGAGCCGGTGAGGCCGGGCTCTATTGTTTGCGGTGTTAATATTTGGCGTCTGGCACCAGCAATTTTCACTGCCACTTCTATGGCAGAACAACAGCAGGACAGCAGCAGCAGCAGGAGCAGCAGCAGCAAGGACATCAACATCATCATCGCCATCGCTATTTACATGAGACTGGCTGCCGTGAGCCATTTTATTGTCACTCTTTACTTTTGTTTGCATTGCGCGAATGTCGTTGCACTTTTTGTGCACCATTTGCATAACATCCAGTTGTTTACGCCATTTGGACGCCCATCGGACACCCATCGGTTGCCCATTGGGTGCCGGATTCGATGGCCTATAGTCGCAACATTTATTTAATTGCATCTTTTCATTATGCTCTTTAATTGCAGTACGTACATTGCGCAGATCTAGCCATAAGCATACCGAACAATCCCGGTCTAGATGATGGTGCCTCATATCGTCTGGACTATAACCCGCCCTTTGGTTACCCGGAGCCAAACACTACGATCGCCTCACGTGATATTGGCGATGAGATTCAGTTCTCACGCGCCTTGCCAGGCACCAAATACAACTTTTGGCTTTACTACACCAACTTCACGCACCACGATTGGCTGACATGGACGGTGACCATAACGACGGGTAAGTCTTACAACAAATTGTTGCTAACTAAAGATAATTCACGAATCACTTATTTTACAAAATCAAATTTCAAAAATAATAAAATGTCATACTCTTTGGTCCCATACAAGTATTGTATATTATAGAGCAGTGGACCCAAGCAAAGTCAATCTATACATCCGTCTATATTTATGGACTATTTTTCTTCCGCTCCAGCTATAGCTGGACTATATATAGTTTCATTATTTTTGGATCACTGCATATTTTTTTTATACCCTGTACCCGTAGGGTTGAGAAATCAGTCTGGACATGTCCGTCCGTCCGTCCGTCTGTCCGTCCGTCTGTCTGGATGAACGCCTGGATTTCGGAAACGGTTGAGCGCACATTTACCAATCTTGGTTGCAGGTGCTTCTAGTCTAAACGAATTTATTTTTTTTTTTTTGAAGAAGAAGAAGAAGAATAATTCTAAGAAAAGTTATTAGCGAAACAATTTCTCTCCAGTACTACGCCCACTAACTCCAGTTCGCTTTTCTTCTTCCTTTTGCTTCTGCTATGGGCGCATATAACTCAGTGTCGGAAGTTTGTCTGGGCACAGGGGATTTCACGGTCGGGCTTGCTCGACTGTAGCGTTCTCTCTTGTTTTACATGGATAAGCTTTTTACAAAGAGTGGCGATGCATAGAAGAAGACAGTTATCGGGCTTATGTGTCTTATATGCCTTCCAATAATATTAATATTAATAAGTGAAATGTATTACACACGTTCGCAGCTATCTAGAATAGGTATTAATTTTATCTTCGAGTAATATGCGAATCATATATGTACTATATTAAAGATAATTTTCAAGATATCGTTGTCAACAAATATTGCCTTAAACAATTAAATAATAATAGTTCATTAACGTTATTGTTGTTCTCGATCGGAATTATCATGTATGCCTGCGCATTCTGTCAAATATATTCATACAATAACATTCATGAGCAACAGCAAAAGTGTTAAGAAAATAAGTAAAATTTTTCAACAACAAACAAAAATATCAGAATCGACTCAAGAGCAATACCAAGAACACGCACATTAATGGGCTTTCAAATGACCTCGCCAGCCCGGCGCCGTTTAATGCGGGACTTTAAACGACTGCAGGATGATCCACCAACTGGTGTTTCGGGCGCACCCAATGAGAACAATATCATGATGTGGAATGCCGTCATATTCGGACCCAACGAGACCCCATTCGAGGATGGCACATTTAAGCTTGTGATTGAATTCACCGAAGAGTATCCAAACAAGCCGCCGCATGTGCGCTTCATATCAAAAATATTTCATCCGAATGTGTATGCGGATGGCGGTATTTGTTTGGACATACTACAGGGTCGTTGGAGTCCCACCTATGATGTGTCTTCGATTTTGACCTCCATACAGTCACTGCTTTGCGATCCGAACCCCAATTCTCCGGCGAACTCCACGGCCGCCCAACTCTTCAAGGAAAATCGCCGCGAGTATGAGAAGCGCGTGCGCGCCTGCGTAGAGCAAAGCTTTGCCGAATAGAGAGCCAAGTACAGTGCATACATAAAAGACATATAGAAGTGCTGGAAAGACAAAACTAACTAACTCACGCACGCATTTTAGCCAAATGCTGAAACGATAAAAGGATTAAATTCCTAATACAACACAACACAAAGAGAGAGAGAGAGAGGCACCCGAAACCAGTGTGCATTATAATTGTTATATTGTTAAATAAAAAGAAACTGCATTTCGGCAGCTTTGGTTCCCATACATATAGTAGATAGCTTTTAAATTGCAAACCTTTAAAGCATTATTTCAAATCACATATCTTAATTACGACAATCCTGCCAAACACATTCTTGGCCAAAGGCACATCAACAAAACGCGATGGCGAACGCGAGTTGAAAGTTCAACTTCCGCCCATTACACTAATTGGGCGCCATATCTGTTTCCGCTAGTCCGGTCCGACCCGATGCGGAAATGAAGTACTTCAGCTGGCAATAAGATCCAAACGCAAGACCCCCCAAGCCACTCTTTTGATTGCTCACAATGGGACCACTGATAGTTTAGCTTCATTAAAAATATCTATGATCGATTTTTTTCCACAAAGTCAATTGAAATGACCAGCACCTTTGAAATCCAAATATTAACTAAAGACAAACCTTGATATCGCATTTCTTTGATTCCTAAACTGGACAATCTAAATTCTTCAAAGCACACTCGCAGCTAAGGCAACAATGCATGTCCACATCTGAATATACGAGTCTACCTATTATAAGTCCAAACCAAATATATTGCAATGGCTTTAAAAACTTTCAAATAAAATAAATTTTGAAGTAAAAAATATGCAACTGTATATTCTGTATATACTTATATACTATATATTTCTAGTACGCCGTGTGCTGAATACTGCTCGTTTGTTTCGTGTCCTCAATAATAATACGAATAAGAATCTGATTGAATCGGCTCGGACACAATTTTTATAGCCTGTACCCAAAGTGTAAAAGGCTATGTTCATTTTGTGCGAATGTATGTAACACGCAGACCCCACAAAGTATTTATATGCTTGATCAGAATGACGAGTCGAGTAGATATAGCCATGTCCGTCCGTCCGTCTGTCTGTATGAACGCAAGGATTTCAGAAAGTATAAGAGCTAGAACAACCAAACTTGGTATTCAGATTCTCTTCAGACCGAGAAAGCACGAGTTTGAGATTTTTCCGATACAACCCCCCTTCCTCCCCACTCCTTCACAATTCGGGTTTTTTTCATAACTCCCGTAATTCTTGAAAACACACATAGGCATAAACACTTATTTATTTAATTAAATTAATTAAAATTTTTTTGTGGGGTGATTCATTCCTTTTTTGTTTCAGATCAGCAAGAAATTATGTTCCCCTACTCCTCAACATTATGCTCATACCAGTTTTTTACGGTTTTATGGTGAAATTAGAATAGTCTCTTCCACCTGCTACCCACTCTAGCAGCTTTTCTATCTCCGTTAAAATCTCTGATTACATACAGCTTTAAGTCGAATAATCTCCGTTTTTTTTTTCGCACGTCTTTTAGAGTCTTGAATTACATTTTGCTGTGAACCGGAGTGCAAGCAAAACAAGAAAGGAATGCTAAAGTCGAGCAGGCTCAACTCTTAAATACCCTGTACCACCCCACAAAAAAGTAATTAAATTAATTAAATTAAATTAATTAATTTAATTAAATTAATTAACTAAATTAATTTAATTAATTAACTAAATTAAATATAAAATATTTCATGCATGCATAGATACATTTACATTTACATCAGAATCGTGCCTTATGCGTGTTTGTGTACTTGTACATATGTATGTATGTGTGCATTGGGCCTGGTTATATGGCTATAACTTTCTTTCTGATCATTCTTTCATAATGAAACTTGGTATACGGATATATAATTACTAACCTAATGTGACTACCAAATTTTCAAAATTCCAAGAATTACGGGAGTTATAGAAAATCTTGAATAGGGGGGGAGTGGGGGGGTGGATCAGAAAAAATGAACAAACTCGTCCTTTCTCGGTCTCCGGAGAATCTGTATACCAAGTTTGGTTATTCTAGCTCTTATACTTTCGGAGATCCTTGCGTTCATACAGACAGACAGACGGACAGACAGACGGACAGACGGTCAGACGGACAGACGGACATGGCTATATCGACTCGGCTTGTCATGCTGATCAAGAATATATATACTTTGTGGGGTCTACCAAGCCTCCTTCTGTGTGTTCCATGTGCACTCGCACAAAACTAATATACCCTTGTACCCTTTGGGTACAGGGTATAAAAATACCCACTACGAATCGGAGGCGGTATTCAATATTATTTCAATTTCGTTAAATTTGTCCTACTTAGGATTTTGAAGTTAAAGAGCTTTATTATAATGAAAATATTTTGTCATCTATGTGGACGGTTTGTTCCTGTCGACAAAGTTAAGTAATTAGTAGGATGCACCTGTCTGTCTTACTGCAGAGTAATAATTTCTGCGAAATAATTTCTGTTCATAAAAATCTATATTTTCTTAAGATTTCGAAATAGCATTTTCTTTCGAATAAATATCTCGGTTGAGCTAACAAAAAGAAAAACGTTGTAATAAGTTTCAGGAGAAAGCCATTAATACTTGTATGGGAATGATGCTGCATGGTATAGTGGTATGGGAGTATGGGAGTATGGGAGACGTTGCCAAAGTGGCGTAAAGTGCCTGGGGTGGCAACGCCAGCACACCTGCGTGTGCTGACAACGCGCTTGACCAGCGCCCACTAGTCTATGTCCATAAATTACCCAGGGGTCTCGTTTGATTTTACGCCACTTCGAATTTACGAGGGGTGGCTTCTGAATGCCTGGACATGCAGGGCTGCCTGTGTCCGGGAGTGGGTGTAAATGCCCGACTTGTTCCCAGATAACAATAATAAAACACGCACCGACGGCCGAAGTAGCCACTCACACGCACCGCCCGCCCAGTGTCTCAGTGTCTCTCTGGGTCAGAAGTGGCATTAGATTGTGGCTCATGTGTGCGAGCAGCTTGTCTTTAACTTTGTTATACATTCACCAACAGGAAGTGCAGCTTAGCTGAATGTTTCCATTGTAATCTTTATGAGCACGTCCTTAACACACTTCCGCCACCACAATGGAGGTATCTGTGAAGCAAATTTCCATATCACATACATACTTGTACATATTTATTATTTTATACATTTAATGGATCGGAATCAATGCTGCTAACACAAAAACAACCACACATATAAAGCTAACTTAGTAATTGGGCTTTTGTTAAAAGCAATTTAAGCGAGTGGAGAGTTAAAGTCGTGCCCGATCGACTCTTGAATACACAACTTATATGCTCTCTTGGCCGGACCCTCACTTTCCCCCGCCCAAGGGGAATGTCCGCTTAAGGGGATACTTAAATACTTTATACAACGATCGAATGTTTTAAAAAAAGTCCACGCCGAAGAGAGTGTCCGGATAAAAGAGGTGTCCATTAAGGGAGTTTTCACTGTAGCAGTACCCAGCCCTTTTTCCCCTTTCAACTAAAATCAACTTTGTTTTGACAATCATTCCCCTGAAAGCTATATGATATAGCGTACCAATTACAATTAAATAAGAAATGTGTTAAACTATCTTTCAAACTCGATCCATTCAATGGAAGCTATATAAAATAATGATGCTATATACGATTATCTATGGTTAGTAATAAACTTATTCTGCATGCAGATAAGATAGGTTCGCATACCAAGTTGGATGTCAGCAGCTGTTTTGGCTCAAAAGTTTCCGATGTTCTCATGGACGGACAGATTCATTAGCATGTAGCAGGGGCGTGCCACGCCCCTTTCTGCCTGCTACATATTTTGGGCGTTTAGACTTTCTATTATTCCACAGACGATAAGTCTGTTCCACCAACTATTCACAGACCTTAGGTAGTCAGAGATATATGTATGTACTATGCAGGTTTATGAATACACCTAATTCTGTTTTTACACGGTCATTTTTACATAGCGGAAGCAAAAAGAGGAAGAAGAAGAGCGAACTTGTTGCCGAATCCGAATCTACTTTAGATAGATTGCGCGTGCAAAGTTTGGTTTATGTAGCTTTTGAATGGTGGCCAGTATTGACGAAATTCTGTAGCGGAGGAAGGGGGGAAAATTCCAAAAAATCAAATTAACTTGTGCTTTCTCGGACCTAGGAGAATCTGGATACCAGCTTTGGTTATTCTAGCTTTTATAGTTTCTGAGATCCTTGCGTTCATCCAGACGGACAGACGGACGGACGGACGGACATGTCTAGATCGATTTCTCTCGTCATGCTGATCAAGAATATTTATACTTTATGGGGTCGGAGATGCTTCCTTCTGTCTGTTACATACTTTGCACAAACCTAATATACCCTTTTTTCCCCTACGGGTACAAGGTATAAAAATTGCATATATATTTCTTTCGAGATAAGGAACCAATCACCTATTTTTGCATATGATCAATGTCTTTTTTACACGGTTGTTTCTGGAACCAAGCTACCGTGTAAAAACAGAATCAAACCATTAAACCGAATTCGAAGAAGGAACTCAAAGCGATCCCCTTCTCAGGCATACCATAATATGTGCAAAGGCTCTGATGGCGAATAGTTTAACGGCGTTCATCAAGATTTTATTTATATAATGCTAGCTTACAATTAAAATCTTAATCTTCTAGGGCCTTCAGCTAACTTTGTATGTACATTATACAGTATTAAAGAAAAAAGTAAGAATACATTTGTATGAGGATTGGTTTTAGATTTTGTGGTAAATGTTTGTGGCCTTTAAATATTTTTTAATATGAGCTTAGAGCTATGTATTGATCGGTTTGTAATTAAGGGCGAATAGATAATCTATGTGGAAGGAGTGTGTGGCATGAGGTGAGGATATGTGCAATGTTTATTAACGCTTTATTGCAGAACGGGCAGTGTTTAGATAGAGTTTGGTCGTTCATCAAGATATCAGTTGAGATTTGTTTAAAATGCAATTGCAATTTCCATAAACTTTCTAATCACATGTAGCTGCATTATTCACAATTAATGTGTGCAGAATGCAAGTGCGTGGCTAACTGTCTTTACAACTATCTGTTTCGCATTCTGGTGGGGGGCGAGGGTGGTGCTTGGCTAAAACCAAAACGCCAAGTCAGCACAAAATGCGAAAATGAGCAAAGACAAAATAGAAACTGGTCGCACCACAATTTTAGCCACAGACAACGAAGTTGGGAGCTCAGCTAAAAATAATCGCAAACATCGGCGCCGAAGCAGCTGCAGACCAACAAAAATGGTCGGCGGTTCAAGCAGCATCGGTGGTTCAGTGGTAGAATGCTCGCCTGCCACGCGGGCGGCCCGGGTTCGATTCCCGGCCGATGCATGAATCACACTTTTTTTTTCCTATTCTCCCAATTGATCTCGATGACAATACTATATGTACAAATATATTTATATATTTCATTGCAGCACCTGATCCGCCATCGAATTTGTCGGTGCAAGTGCGCAGCGGCAAGAATGCCATTATCTTGTGGTCACCACCCACCCAGGGCAGCTATACGGCATTCAAGATCAAGGTTCTGGGCCTATCGGAGGCATCCAGCAGCTACAATCGCACGTTCCAAGTCAACGACAACACATTCCAGCACACGGTTAAGGAGTTGACGCCCGGTGCCACTTATCAGGTGCAGGCCTACACCATTTACGATGGCAAAGAGTCGGTGGCGTATACGAGTCGAAACTTTACCACAAGTAAGTGGCGGCTATACTTGTAGATCCGTTCTGGGATGGCATCACTTTTTATTTGTAGCGGTGTTTCGAATCAATAACAAACATTAGTTTCGTACTATTTTTATATAATTTTTGGTGATGGTGCTCTATGTGTTAACTAAAACCGGTCATTTGTTTCTCCTCCTCCTCCTTTATTAACTTGTTTAATGCCTTGTAACTAAACTGAATATGTAATTAAAAATAAATAAATAAACGCATAAAGGTCGACGGACGCGGCATAAAGAATTACTGGATATTAAAATATTGAGAGGTAATGTAAACTAAGTATTGTTACAAGTATATGTACGAGATATATGTATACTATGCATGGAAGAAATCATTTAACAACAGCTAACTAATACTATAGCAGCTAAAAAATTGAAGCTAACTTTGTAAAGTCAAGGCGAAGCGCCGGCGGGCTGGCCAATCGGCCAAGGGCTGTGCTTGGCAGCATGCAACCCTGACCTAAACCAACTGACCACAAACCATTGCGCTTTGGCACACGGCCAATTCATTTTAAGCCAGAAATTGCAAAACCGCATGCACTTTCCTTCAACCACTCCCTCACTCCCTCACTCACTCACTCGCACAACGAAACAATTTAACAAGCCAGCCAGCTAGTCAGCCAGCCAACCACTCCCGCCAGGCCTGGCCAAAATATTTGCCAAGCCACAAAGTGCATGCGAACAACAGCAACAACAACAACAACTACAATAATAACTAGAGACCAAAGCAATAGCTCTGAGTACGCCATATTGACCAATATTTCTAACACAAAGCATCGTTTGTTTATTCATGCCCCATCCACACTGCCACTGCCACTGCCGACCCACAGAGCCAAACACTCCGGGGAAATTCATTGTCTGGTTTCGTAATGAGACTACGCTGCTGGTGCTGTGGCAGCCACCCTACCCGGCCGGCATTTATACGCACTACAAGGTCTCCATAGAGCCGCCGGATGCCAACGACAGTGTTTTGTATGTGGAGAAGGAGGGCGAGCCGCCGGGGCCAGCGCAGGCGGCCTTTAAGGGTCTGGTGCCCGGTCGTGCATACAATATTTCGGTGCAAACCATGTCTGAGGATGAGATATCCTTGCCAACGACAGCGCAATATCGCACAGTGCCGCTCCGACCGCTGAACGTCACCTTTGACAAGGATTACATCACCTCCAATTCGTTTCGAGTGCTTTGGGAGGCGCCCAAGGGTGTCTCCGAGTTTGACAAATACCAGGTGTCGGTAGCCACCACACGTCGACAATCGACAGTGGCACGCAGCAATGAACCGATTGCCTACTTCGACTTCCGTGATATCGCTGAGCCAGGCAAAACGTTCAATGTGATCGTCAAGACAGTCTCCGGGAAGGTGACATCCTGGCCAGCAACTGGCGATGTTACATTGCGACCACTGCCAGTGCGTAATCTGCGCTCTTTCAACGATGACAAGACCAATACGATGATCATAACATGGGAGGCGGATCCGGCCAGCACGCAGGACGAGTATCGCATAGTGTAAGTAAATGGATGCATCAAGGACCCGTTCCCTTTTTAACTTTCTTCTTCTTCTTTCGTAGATACCACGAGCTAGAAACTTTCAATGGCGACACCAGCACTCTAACTACGGATCGCACACGCTTCACACTCGAGAGTCTTCTACCCGGACGCAATTATTCGCTATCTGTGCAGGCTGTATCCAAAAAAATGGAATCTAATGAGACAACCATTTTTGTTGTAACACGCCCTTCATCGCCGATTATTGAGGACCTTAAGAGCATCAAGATGGGCTTGAATATTAGCTGGAAGAGCGACGTGAACTCCAAGCAGGAACAGTACGAGGTGCTATACTCTCGCAACGGCACCTCGGAGGTGCGCACGCTCATCACCAAGGAATCGCGACTAGTAATCAAGAATTTACAGCCCGGCGCCGGCTACGAGGTCAAAGTGTTTGCCGTGAGTCACGAACTTCGCAGCGAACCGCATGCCTACTTCCAAGCAGTGTGTAAGTATTTGCCTAAACTAGTCGTTGAATCATGACGTTATCGTTTGTCCGCCTTTAGTTCCCAACCCACCACGCAATATGACCATCGAAACAGTTCGGAGCAACTCAGTGCTGGTGCACTGGTCGCCGCCAGAGAGTGGAGAATTCACAGAGTATTCTATACGGTATCGCACCGACAGTGAACAGCAGTGGGTGCGACTTCCAAGTGTGCGCTCTACTGAGGCGGACATTACAGACATGACCAAGGGCGAGAAATACACTATACAGGTCAATACCGTAAGCTTCGGTGTAGAGAGCCCCAATCCGCAGGAAGTGAACACCACAGTGCCACCAAATCCTGTTTCCAACATCATACAATTGGTAGACTCGCGAAATATAACGTTGGAGTGGCCCAAGCCCGAGGGACGGGTAGAGTCGTATATACTGAAGTGGTGGCCGACTGAAAATCCTAGCAGGGTGCAAACAAAGAACGTCTCAGAGAATAAGTCGGGTGAGTGAGGTTAAGAATGCACTATTAAGGCAACGTCTTTAATTGGTGTTTCCTGTTTTACAGCTGATGATCTGTCTACGGTGCGGGTCCTTATTGGGGATCTGATGCCGGGCGTCCAGTACAAGTTTGACATTCAGACAACGTCCTATGGCATTTTATCCGGTATTACCAACCTCTATCCGCGCACTATGCCTCTCATTCAGTCCGACGTGGTTGTCGCCAATGGTGAGAAAGAGGACGAGCGGGAAACTATTACGCTGTCCTACACTCCCACGCCGCAGTCCTCTTCAAAGTTCGACATCTATCGGTTCTCATTGGGCGATGCAGAGATCAAGGACAAGGAGAAGCTAGCCAATGACACCGATCGCAAGGTTACCTTCACCGGCCTCGTGCCGGGCCGGCTATACAACATTACCGTATGGACGGTGAGCGGAGGTGTTGCTAGTCTGCCCATACAACGCCAGGATCGCCTCTATCCGGAGCCAATTACCCAACTACATGCCACTAACATCACGGATACGGAGATCTCGTTGCGCTGGGATCAGCCCAAGGGCGAGTACAATGATTTCGACATTGCCTACCTCACGGCCGACAATCTGCTGGCCCAGAACATGACTACCCGCAACGAAATAACAATCACTGATTTACGACCGCATCGTAACTATACATTCACCGTTGTCGTGCGCTCCGGCACTGAGTCATCTGTGTTGCGCAGCAGCTCACCGCTTTCAGCAAGCTTTACCACTAATGAGGCTGTGCCGGGTCGCGTCGAACGCTTCCATCCCACCGATGTACAGCCCAGCGAGATTAACTTCGAGTGGTCTTTGCCTTCTAGCGAGGCCAACGGCGTCATACGTCAGTTCTCCATAGCCTACACCAACATCAACAACCTTACCGATGCAGGTGTACAGGACTTTGATTCGGAGGAATCCTTTGGTGTCATTAAGAACCTCAAGCCAGGCGAAACCTATGTCTTTAAAATCCAGGCCAAGACGGCCATAGGCTATGGACCAGAACGCGAGTACAAGCAAACTATGCCCATATTGGCACCGCCTCGTCCTGCCACCCAAGTGGTTCCCACAGAGGTGTACCGCAGCTCTTCCACTATACAGATACGCTTCCGCAAGAACTATTTCTCGGACCAGAACGGCCAGGTGCGCATGTACACAATTATTGTGGCCGAGGACGATACAAAGAATGCGTCCGGCTTAGAGATGCCCAGTTGGCATGACGTGCAGTCGTATAGCGTGTGGCTCCCCTACCAAGCTATCGATCCGTACTATCCATTTGAGAATCGCTCTGTAGAAGACTTTACCATTGGCACTGAAAACTGCGACAATCACAAGATCGGCTACTGCAATGGGCCTCTGAAATCAGGAACTACATATCGCGTGAAGGTGCGAGCCTTTACGGGACCAGACAAGTTTACGGACACAGCCTACAGCTTTCCGATACAGACAGGTGAGTCGTAGGACCTCAGCTAGTATTAAAATATTTCGTAAATTCAATTCATGAAATTATTGTCCAAATATTGTCATCTTATTTATGTCTTGCCTGCGGCTCTATGTGTATTCATAGATCTGCTAAGCTCACCGGGTAAGCTCGCTTAACGCACCTTTTTGGTCGGTTTTATGACAAAATATATAAACTCATCACTTTTCTTTTTATTTCTCTATTCCATAAATTATTGCTCACAGATCAAGACAATACCTCGCTGATCGTGGCTATTACGGTGCCGCTAACCATTATTTTGGTGCTGCTCGTCACGCTCGTCTTTTATAAGCGCCGTCGCAACAATTGCCGCAAGACCACAAAGGACTCTCGCGCCAACGACAACATGTCCCTGCCGGACAGCGTCATCGAACAAAATCGCCCCATTCTGATCAAAAACTTTGCCGAGCACTATCGTCTGATGTCCGCCGACTCCGATTTCCGGTTCAGCGAGGAATTTGAAGAGCTTAAACATGTTGGCCGTGATCAGCCATGCACGTTTGCCGATCTACCGTGCAATCGACCCAAGAATCGCTTCACCAACATCCTACCGTACGATCATTCGCGTTTCAAGCTTCAGCCAGTGGACGACGATGAGGGCTCCGACTACATCAATGCTAACTACGTGCCCGGCCACAATTCGCCACGTGAGTTCATTGTCACCCAGGGTCCGCTGCACTCGACACGTGACGACTTCTGGCGCATGTGCTGGGAGAGCAATTCGCGTGCTATTGTCATGTTGACGCGGTGCTTCGAGAAAGGGCGCGAGAAGTGCGACCAGTACTGGCCTAATGATACGGTACCAGTATTCTATGGCGACATCAAGGTGCAAATACTGAATGACAGCCATTACGCCGACTGGGTCATGACCGAGTTCATGCTGTGCAGGGTAAGTGTAGCGCAGGTCGGCTCTCTCAGCGACAATTTTTTCTAAGACCACCTCTTTAATCCGCATACAGGGCAGTGAACAGCGTATTTTACGGCACTTCCACTTCACAACTTGGCCCGATTTCGGAGTGCCTAACCCGCCTCAGACTTTGGTGCGCTTTGTACGCGCCTTCCGGGATCGCATCGGTGCCGAACAACGGCCCATTGTGGTGCACTGCAGCGCCGGCGTCGGACGCTCAGGCACTTTCATTACCCTAGATCGGATATTGCAGCAAATCAATACGTCGGACTATGTGGACATTTTCGGCATTGTCTATGCCATGCGCAAAGGTTTGTCTACGCCTTACGCTAAACTACGAACCACGTAACTGATCTCTCTTTCTCTCTCGCTCCGTCTCTTTCTAATGATAAGCAGAACGCGTCTGGATGGTGCAAACGGAGCAACAATACATCTGCATACATCAGTGTTTGCTGGCCGTGCTCGAGGGCAAAGAGAATATAGTGGGCCCCGCACGTGAAATGCACGATAACGAGGGCTACGAAGGTAAGTCAGTCGCACAAACTGCAAAAGCACGCGCGCTCTCTGCTCAGACGCTCCTAACTAATTCCCAACCCCAGATCAAGCCAGTCGCAAGGCGTTAATTTAACGGTTTCGGTTTTCAATTTCCTCTTATTGTGTACCACAAACGACTAATTAAACAAATATGTTCGATTTATTTTCGTTTTAAACACTGGTGCTGGTTAACTAACATTGAACAAAAACAACAACTATTTCTCTGTTCTCTCTTCCCACGAAAAAAAAACAAAAAAAAAACACACACACACAACACGTCTAACCCACACACAAACACATATAAAAATATATACATACACGCTTAACCCGATCCATGCAAGCAGCCCAAGGAGCTCAAATGGATGAGCATGGCGCCATAATTGCCACCATTGAGGGCCACATGCACGATCTTCAGCAGGCCGAGGCGGAGGCGATCGATGATGAGAATGCGGCGATCATACACGACGACCAACAGCCACTGACCAGCAGCTTTAGCGCAAGTCTAGTGCCTGCCCATAGCGCCTCGATGAGCTCGTTTAGCGCCGCCGTTGTGGCCGCCGCCGCTGCGTCCGCAGACGGACCTGACAGATGACATTCGGTTGTCAACCAGAGCGATAACAACAACTCCGTGGTTATCGTGCTGGTTGACAACAAGCCCAGCTCGATGATCTGCAAGGAGGGTGCCATCGATGTCATCAGCATCAATGGCCACACAGGCGTTAATGGCGGCGGTGGTGGCAACGGAACCGGCAACCCAGATGCACCGCCGATGTCAGCATTAAGCAACGGCTACAATACGCTCCAGCATCGTCGCAAGTCGCAGCTAATCACCTTTAGCGCATCGTCCTGTGATATCAAGAACAGTCTAAGCCATGAGCTCATTACCAACGGTGGTGGTGGTGGCGGTGGCGGTGGCACAGGAAGTGCAAGGGCCAGCATTGTCGGCGGCAGTCGGGCCAATGTCCGCCTTAGCTTTGCCGAGGAGGATGTCATGATTGTGCCACAGCAGCAGGCACATGGCCAGCAGCCACATGGCCAACAGAGCCAACAACACTCTCAGCACGCTTCCATAGGCTCGGCCAACGGCACCGAGCTGAATGGCACCGTCGGCCTGGGCGATGATGAAGTCTTTCGCCGGCGCTCTCTGGTGGACGTGGAAGTGGGCGTGGAAATTGGCGAAGAGGGTGAAGTGGTGGTGGTGGCTGTGGAGGAGGAGCTAGAGGAGGATGTCGAGCTCTACATACACGACGAATTCGAGACGCACATAGACACCAAGTCGAACAATGCCAACGACGATAGCGGCGGAGGCAGCTACGAGGACTCACATGCTCTACACAGCTCGCTGGGGGGCAGCAATCGGAACAGCCTCGAGAAGGATGACGACGACATCGAGGTGGATGTGATCAGCACGGATGTCAGCTGCTACGATCAGCTGCTGGGCAGCAGCTGCAACACTCGAAATGGCGACGACGACGATATTGCCACGCTCGTCGGCGATGGGGACAACTACACAAAGCTCTGCAAGACGGCGGGCCTAGTGGGCGGGGGTATTACGAGTATTAGTGCCGGCGGAGCTCAAGTCATAAGTGTTGGGGACGGCAGCGGGGGTGGTGGTGGTGGTGGCAGCGGTGGCGGCATTATTTACGCCAATCCTTTCATGGGTTTGTAGACAAAACCAAAAACAACATTTGTGTGCATGCCTCCAAACTTTTTATTTAACTATGTATGTATGTACTACTAATCCACTCATTTGTATAGTTTTGTACTATCTACTTAGTTCACTAAAGTGTGGTCAGACAGGTAAAAAATTTGCACACAAATTCAACAAAAATATAAGAAACAACAAAAACATTCTCTTTGGAACCTACTTTGCAAAGCCCACAACTTGGCCAATTTGCGTGCAAATTATTTGCACGTTTGACCGTAGCCGTACTTACCGATTCACTCTCTAACACTGGGAAATACTCATTCTCGCTTCTAATATTTGAATGTGTTCTGGAATTAGCGTCCACTTTCATGGAAATCCAAACACATGTTTAGAATAAGTGCACCGGCATGTCCAATTCTCTTTAAACTTTTTAGTGAGCTATATTACAAGTATTTTTGGCAATCGCATGCTGTTCACCTTTTGTTTTACATCTCGCTTGTTGTTCGGCTTGTTGTTAACACCGATATCTGGCGATCGTTCCTAACGATTTTTAATTTAATTGCAGATGACGAAGGCATTGCCGAGTCCGGCATGTGAGCAGCGAGAAGGTAGCCCGCGTGTCAAACTACATAATATTTACTTAAGTAACTCAAACAACGCTTGATATTATACATATATACTAGACATAGATCTACATATATACAACACATACACACACATACATACGCGTATTGTAGTGTATATGTATTAAAAAAAAAAAGAAGACATATATCCAACTCACTGAGACAGACGACGACCCACACCCACAGCCAAACAACTCGAATGAATGGAATGCAGAAATCTCGCCGAATGTGCAACAAATCGGCATAACTCTATTATAAATATATATATACGTGCATATATAGTATATACTGGTATACATACATATGTATTACTTATACTTGAAGCTCGGACATAGTACGCATACGCATTGCGTATACGTACTTCGTATGAATCTAACCAATTTTTGCAATTTACATTTATATATAAATATATACACATATACTATATATACACATAAAACATACAATATATTTGTAATTGCTGATTATTGTGAAATATTTTTACGTTAGCCACAATTTTTGTATGTTATATCTTCCAATTTTTTTTACACTAAATGTTAGTTGAAATTAAATGTGCAGCTTCGTGTAGTTCAGCTAAAAGGAGCGCCAAGTGTTTTTTGATATGCATATATATATATATATATATATATATGTATATGAGTATATATGTATATACACAAATATATACATGTATATGTATACATATATACATAAATGCATAAATATGTATAAAACAACTAGGCATTAATTAATCTAAGCACTGCTTAAGGCCGTCTCGAGCAGCGCATATACACACTCATCTTTAGATATATATATATATATATATATATATATATATATATATATATATATATATATATATATATATAAATCAGTATATATGTGTATACTAATGTATGTATGTAAAGTGCAGCAATTCAGTTACATAGTTTTAAATGTTGATACATTTGGCAAACGCTTGTTGGATAGTCATCCAACAGGCCACATAGACTTAGGCCCAATACTTTTTTTTTTGTCGTCATTTTAATACCTAAAGCAAGAAAACCGTATATTGTATATTGATGTAACTCTTATGTGTATGTATGTGCTACTTTAACTGTGTTTAATTATACGAAACTTTTATAGAACGGAACTGTTTTGTGTTTTATTTATTTATTGTACGTTTGCTTTCATTTCAGTTTCGCTTTCATTTCTTAACTGTTACTTTCTTCTTCTTTCCTTGACATTTTTCTAAGCTTAAAAGCTTAACAGCGCGCCTAACATTTATCCAAGCTGGCTAACAGCGCGCAGTACTGTTAATGAACAAGGCGCTGTTAAGTTGGCAGGAAACCAAAACCCTACCGTAAATTTCAACACCGATTTCAAATGCACTACAACAAGAACAACTACAATAACAACAGCACAACTACAACAACAAATGACCAACGCATTTTCTAAGGCGATAATCATTTACACATAATAAAACGTACCAATATTTTTTTTGTATTTTAAAAAAAAATAAAGATAAAAATAAAATAAAAACAAATACAATGTCCCACTTATATCAAAAATCAAAGTAATTATATTTTAATGAAAAATTCCATAACATAGAGAAATGTTCGAAAATGCCGAACGGTGCCAAAATGCAATAAAAACCAATACAATAGTAGCAAAAATAAACTAAAACAACATACATAAAGGATATGTAGCAAAAATGATTTGCACACTATACCGTACATACTATATATCAAATAAAATCGAAAACAATGAAACAACTTACTTTAAGCATTGAATGTGAAAAGTGCAATAGAACCGTTACATACTAGTATAGTTAAAATACAACGAATGCAAGCCACAGCCCCAGCCCGAGCCGAGCCGAGCCTCGAAACCATTATCCTAGCCAGGGGCGAGAGGGGCCACTGCACATAATAAATAAATAATACATACATAAATATGTACATTTTTTTTGCATGTGCAACAACTAATAAGTCTGTGTAATGCATAATGTCAAGAAATCGTATCGTTGTAGAAAACACATACCTATATATACATACATATACATATAATTAAACGACTCTATACGTTTAGCTAAAACCGACTAGACTATATACTACGTGGGTATATAAGTGAAAGTAAAACCAAACATATGCATATACAATATACCTATACACATAAACAAATATATCATTGTAATAATTTGTAATGTTTATTAGTAGAATAAATAACCTAGTGCATATATATACCTACAACTAAATGAAGTAAAAGTGAAAGACACAACAACAACAACAAAATGGAAACGAATTCATTAAAGTGAACTGGAAAAAAGTCAACTGTTTTAATGTGGAATTGGGTGGGAAAACAGAAATCTTCCATTTAAGCCCTGATTCTATTTCCAAAATCGATCAAAATTGCAATTTTGTGCTATAGCGTTTTATAATCTGCTTTTGAAACCAGAATGTTTTGTTTCACCAACTTTCAACTTTTTTGTTTAAACCGAAATTAATGTTTATAATATTATTAGGAGCTGAGTGAAAAATAATTCAGAACATAACTGCCCAGAATTTTCTTTTCTTTTTTGTTTCCACTCTATGTCAAAAGCTTATTTTTCGTTTTATTTTATAGATATTAATATAGGTATTATTTTGAATTTCAATTTGGAAAAGTTCATTCAACAGCCCAATAGACACTGCCTTGATTTATGATTATTATTGGCTTGATCTTAATGTATTTGTTTATTGAAATTTGGAAAACATTCTGAACCGTTTTTGGAAAACTCTCACCGGTCAAGGCTTGAAAAATATATTTTATTAAAGTATATATATTATATTAATATAGAATATAGATTATATTAAGAATGTATGGATGGGGATTACTTAGGCCAGTTAGGTCTTTAGTCGACAGTTTCTCAAAAGTTACCTAGGAAGAGAATAATTATTCAAATATTCGTATCAATATAGGGTGCCGAATGGAACACAGTTTACAAATTTCTTGCTTTTTATTATTACAAAACAGTTTTATATACATTTACAATATATAATATAATATACTTTGGGGAATTATGCTTAGGGGGGAGTAATACGAAGCAGGGAGAATTAACAGTGTATGTATGTATATATGCATGAGAGGTAAGATGCCGGTCGCCTGCCTCATGTGGAGATGAGAATATTTGGCTCGATGGAGTGCAGCACGTTGAAGCCCTTGTGTAAAATGCAAGTGCGAAGTATGCCACAAGCCACCAGAAACTGAGAGAACTGCAATGGAAAGAATGGAGGGATTGAGTGGATTAATGGATTGGCAATGGGCCACAATCAACGATAAGGACTCACCTCAACGGCATGCTGATGTATGTTGCTGACACAAACGACGACGCGTCCACGCAGCTGCATCTCTAGTTGGGGCACATTGAGCGCGTCCAGACGCTGTTCGCCGAGCAGCACCGTGGCAAAGGGTATGTTGATGCTGTGCGGCACTTGTACGCGAGCGAATTCCACAACGCTCCGCAGATCGATGAGCGCCAACTCGCCGGGCGCATGCTGCACCAAATGCAGGACATCCTTGGCGCTTATCCGTGGGCATTGCTCTGCCAATAAATGCTTTAGTTCGACATCATCGATGCCTATATCCTGTGTTGAGACGCAAATGAATTAGCTAAAACTATTCAGACCATACTTGAAATATATCTACAACAAGACTGATTATTGTTATTATTTATAATTTAGGGGTGTTCTTACGAAAGGAAAATAAGAAACTATATGGTCTCTTTTTATCTATTCGTATAAAATTGGTACCATCTAGATCTACAAGTACGCACCAGAGTCTGTGGGGGCTGTTGTCGCAGGGCGTGCTTGCGATGCGTTATGCTCTTAGGCGTGGACTCATACATCTTTTGGGACTCGATCACACAAGTCTCCATCACAATGTCGGGCAGGTCGGAGAAAAGAAGAATGCACTCGTTAAAGCCGGATGTGAGGAGCGTGCTCTTCAGCTGCTTCAGAATGGCGATTCCAATGAAGAGCGGGTAGGAGCTGTCGCCAAGCATGAGCTTATCCCACAGATGCAATATCTTATGTAGCGGAAAGACATCTGCAAATAGACAGAGCGTCAGCTTACCAAGTGGCCCCAAGTATCTGCTTTAGGTTCCAATACGCACGCGAGAACATGGTCAGAAACCAGGGTATTGCAAACAATTCGGGTATGAAATTAATGCTTGCCAAATGCTGGGCCAGCAGCGGCTCATGGAATGCGGTCAGTTGAGAGAATTTGCTCAGGTATTCCCGTATAATGGCCGAGTTGTCCTGCAGGAAGAACCACTGCAGATATTTCGGAATAAATTTGAAAAGACTGAGGAAGGCCAATTCTGAAATAAACACAACATAATAATAAAATATATGAGCAACATTAAGGCTTCGTCCCGTTTCCGATGCATTCAATTAAAATTAAAAACCGACTCGACTCACCCTCATTGTTAAAGTTCAAGTACAGAAATGGTGCCGTCAGGGAGTCCAATCCCTGCCAATACACATACTGGGGATGGGCAGTCACCCAGGCCTTGAGCAGACGCTTCAACTTGCGATGGCCGTCCGGCGAGGATAGTAGCTCGTCATACTGATGGCAGCGCGGTATGTCGACCTCGATTTGTCGGTCCGTGGATGTGGCTGTGAATTTGTCAATCTTGGCATAGCTAGAATTGGGAATCACCTCGAGCAGGGCAGCCCAGACGGGACCGCGCAACAGTGGCGGAATGTCTACGGCCGCCTCCCTCTGCAGAAGCTCGGCAGTATGAGGGTAGCCCTGCAGTAGGCGCGCGAACAGGCGAACCCGATGAAACTGGTATTCAATATCTCGTTCCCGTATCACTAGCGGCAGCTGCTGCATCTCTCCGGCAAACTCATAGGGGAAGCGGGGTGAGTGTATCAACGGAAAGTAGACAGAGGCGGGCAGTCGGCGCAGGCGTTGCACCAGCGTATTTAATTTCAGCGGCACAATGCGATCATCCATTAGATAGGATTGACTGCGCTTGGGACCTGCGCTGCTGCCATTTAGACGGACCACCTGCGGCAGAGCCAAAATGGGTGCCTCACTGCGTATGAGACCCTCCTTCTTGAGCTCCGCCTGCACATCGCCGCCGGCCAGCTGCCACAGATGGTAGATCTGCGAGAGCGGGCAGCGCAGGAGAAGCGGCAACGGGGCTGCGTCCACTGTGCCGTTTGATGGTGCTCGGAGCTCCTCACGCTGTGGATCAAAGCATGGGTACGCCAGCAGCTCGCTGGGTAAGGGACGCTGCGACAGCGGCACGCTCAGACAACGCTCCAGCAAAGCACGTACATCCACATCCAGCTGCTGGTATAGATTGTAGCAATCGTGCTCGCGGGCAATCCTCTCCAGCACATTGTTGCTGCGTCCGAAGGCAAGAATCTTGCGTGCAATATTCGATAGTTTCAACTTGGGCCACAGTGTCGTCTGTAGCAGTAGCTCCAGCATCATCATAGCCAATGCCCAGACATCGCTTTTTATGTTGCCATTGGCGCCTAGGAGGCGCTCTGGCGCCATGTAACGGATGTTGCCAATCGGAAATGGCACATAGGCACCGCCCTTGGTCATGTGGTAGAGCCCGTAGTTAAAGAGCTTAACGTGATCCTGCTCCTGGATAAGTATATGCTTAGGCTCCAGGTTGTGAACGACAAGCTTGTGCGCATGCAGGACATTGATGCCGCAGGCAACTTGGTAGAAAATGCGTAAAATCTGTGTTTGACTCAATGAGGATCGTTTGGCATGCTCCTCCAGTGTGCAGCCTGAGTACTCGGACACAACAATGGTGCGTTCTAATCGAATATGGGATTAGTTGTTACTTCAAATTGGCAATTGATTGCTTCAAACGAACTCACCATGCTTGCCGCGAATCACGTCCAGATACTGACACAAATTCTCGTGCTCCAGCTCCCGCAAACGCTGTGCACGCCCCAAAATTGCTATCGAATTGGGCGTCAACGGTAGGCCGTTGCTCCCGCACACATCGCCCGGATGTAGTCTTGCAAAAAATGTGATGGCGCAGAGGCGTGTCTCGATTTTGGCAGGCTGTGCTGTTGCCGTGGCATTTGGGTTTGCATTTGATTTTGTATTTAGTGGAGCATTGGCCATTTGTTGCAGCGAATGTCCACAACAATATTTCAGCCGCTTTTTCTTCAAATTGCCAAGCACAGGCAGCAACAGCAACAATTATTCGCTCGCTCACTCAAACAAACACACGCACACAATCCGTGGCAAACAGAGACTAGAAGGTATGGCACTGCGCAGGTCCATTATTCGGATTCTCTTCGTATGACGTCAGAATATGGTTGGTGCATAGCAGGGAAATTAATATATGTCGCATTTTGAAGTATGCAAAGCATGTAACTGTTAAAGCAAGTAAAACAGTTGAATAATTAAGCAGTCGTTTTATTTGAAATTTCGTGAACTAATGGCGGTGCTGTCACTTCCTAACACAGTAGCAACCCTGCGTGATATCTGCGCAAACATCAAATATCAACAACAGTGGGAGGGACAAATCACGTACACCTAACTATTTCATACGTAACTTACGCTGAGTTTACTGCAAGAGTAATAAAGTTGCATTATTTAACGCCATACCTTCCCTCTTCATATCATGTATCGAACATCTGTTAGCAGTGCGCTTCCTAGCACTGCAGCGGCCTGCATTCGTATTGTGCAACACTGCCAGCTGCCGTTGCTCGTTCTTCGTTCGATTCGCTCGTTATCGCCTGCTGTTGTATTGTTGTTGCTTCATCTCTCGCCTTTATTGCGCACTCCAAATTGTTTTGTTATTATTATAAACTCGGCGGCAATTGTAATTTTTCACCACTCGCGAATCCAGCGCGCATTTCATATTTCGCTTGACTTGCGATCGCCTTTTATTATATTTTCCGTACAAAATTGCAAACACACATTGGCATGCAAAAACAGATAATTGAAACTCGCTCGCTTATTGACCCAGTAAACGTCGCGTCCGTTGTTTGTCTCGCATTTTTGTTTGTTTAACCATTTTCTGCCATATATGTATGTATGTATGCAGCGCATCGAATAGAATAATTGCTGCTCATGTCGCTGTCGCAGTTCGTGGAGTACACGGAGCCCCAATGGCGCGAACTGAACATGCGCGCCCTTCACGTGGATCAGGCCTATATGTATGTTAGCTCGAACTATTTAGCGCCCTCTTATCTCTACACCCTCTCGGATGAATGCTATTCGGTATGTGTAATGATTAAGACAACAGCATTTTAAAATAATTTCAAAATAAAACCAACACCTCTTTCAGTGCCCATATACGAGAGTGAAAGCTTTGCCAGCCGTTGAGGATCAGTCACTATCGTCGACAAATGAGCCGTTAACGCTCAGCACGGCATTTGCTTTAAATTTCAAAATCTATGCGGACGATCAGGGTCACTATGCCTACGACAATGTGTGAGTAGTTGTGGCCACCGTCCATTTATTGTTATACGCTTCACTGAAAAGTCTAAGGGTATATTACTTTTGCTGTGTTGGTTTGTAACGCCCAGAAGCCAGCATCGTAGATCACATGTTTAGATACATACATATGTATGTACGTATGTACATATATAATCATCAGCACACACGACAAGAGAATTCAAATCGTGATGTTCGTCTGTCTGTTTCAATCGCTTATCTTAACAACTAACGCGAGGCTTCTTTTTGACGGACACAGATAATAGTAAGTGGCGACCGAACATGCCAGATCACTATACCGTATATGTACATATGTAGTTGCGATAGAAACGATATGATTTAAGAATGTTATTTTGTACTAGAAACCTGTTTATTTATACAAATATTTGCTGTCATATTCGATGAATTGTATCAAAATTAGATACTGCGGGCCCAGTATATAGTTGGATGGAGGGGAAATGATAAAGGGTATAAAGATTCGGCGCAGACTAACACAACTTCAAAGCTCGTTATTGTTATGTTATTATGCCAATTACGATTTCACTTCAGCTCATCGTTGTGTACACTTCGCACAAAGCTGCAAGAGTTCGGCGTCTATAATCTCACGCTGCAGTTGAACGGCAGCTGTAACTTCGATGTGGACAAGGAGGGCGTGCCGATATACTACTGTAAGTACGCCCCCAAAATGAAAGAGTTTATGAGACTCACTTGACCACCTGCTGCTGTTTTTCCACAGCATTCCTCGGCGTGTGGCTGCTTGTTGCCGCTCTGCTGATCGTGTTGCGGCTTGGCTGGTGCGCCTGGCGTTGTGCCCGCTATGATGAGGCGGCGGCTGTTGCTGATAGCATCGGTGAAGCAGCAAGCAAGGCCACGCAGCGGAAACGCATGCGCAGCCTGGACACGTTTCGCGGGTAGGGATGCCATTAAAATATTAATCAACAACAGTGATTAATTTGCATGCCATTAGGTTGGCCATCGTGCTGATGATTTTTGTGAATAGCGGAGGGGGCGGCTATTGGTGGATTGAACACGCCACATGGAATGGCCTGCACGTTGCCGATCTCGTTTTCCCCTCATTTCTCTGGATCATGGGCGTCTGTGTGCCGCTCTCGGTACATTCCCAATTGGGCAGAGGCGTGAGCAAAGCACGCCTGTGCCTGCGCATTACCTGGCGTGCCTGTAAACTTTTTGCCATCGGCCTGTGCCTCAACTCAATCAATGGACCCCAGCTGGAGCAGCTGCGCATCATGGGTGTACTGCAGCGATTCGGCGTGGCATTCCTAATCAGTGGCATTCTCCACACCCTCTGCAGTCGACGCCAGCATATTGTGCCTCAGCGGGCCTGGCACCGTGCCATCTACGATGTGTGTCTCTTCAGTGGAGAGCTGGCTGTGCTCTTGGCCCTGATTGCTACATACTTGGGACTAACATTCGGACTGCCCGTGCCCGGCTGCCCTCTTGGGTATCTGGGCCCTGGCGGCAAGCACGACTTGGCTGCTTACCCAAACTGCATTGGTGGCGCCGCTGGCTATATTGATCGCCAAGTACTAGGGAACGCGCATATCTATCAGCATCCCACGGCCAAGCACGTATACGATTCATCGGCATTCGATCCAGAGGGCGTATTTGGTAAGCACTTATTGTAAATTCCAATTAAATAAGCCTTTCTATAGTGTCATGAATACGTCATTTTACATTTTTAAATATCTCTTTAGTTGCAAGTTTTGACTAATTTTAAGGACTCCATCAATTTTCCAGCTTCATTTTCAATTGGACTGTATTTTAGTCGACTAAATGCTATTATAGAATATAAATAGGAAACTGAATAATTATACTAATTGAAATTATTTTCTTTTAGGCTGTATTCTGTCCGTAGTTCAGGTGCTGTTTGGAGTCTTTGCAGGCGTTACATTGCTCATACATCCCACCTGGCAGGCACGAATCAAACGCTGGCTCATTTGCGCCGCCTTGCTGGGCATAATCGGTGGAGCACTGTGCGGGTTTTCGAAAGAGCATGGCATCATACCCGTCAACAAGAATCTCTGGTCAATCTCATTCGTATTTATCACCGTTGCCGTGGCCTACACATTATTGTCCTTCCTCTATTACGTGATCGATGTACGCCAGTGGTGGTCCGGCCATCCATTCACGGAGTCCGGCATGAATGCCATCATCATGTACGTGGGCCACACAATCATGCACAAAATGCTGCCCTGGCATTGGCGCATCGGGGCAATGAACACTCATTTTGTCCTGCTGCTGGAGTCGGTGTGGAACACACTTATCTGGATCGCAATAGCTCTGTATTTGGATTCACAGGAGTTCTATTATAGTCTGTAATCGATTTTCCCCCCTCCCCATATTGACTACAAAATTGTTAATTAATGTGTGCTCCATAGCTGCACAAGGCAAGCCAGTATTGAAAAGGTGTTTTATGTAATTCCCGTCTAGTTTGTCAATAAAGTGTGATTTTTATAGAGCAATCAATAGTCAGTGGAACGGAGTAGCCATTAAACATTGTATAGCATAGAGGCCTGACTGGTCTATATGAAAAACCCAAAAGTTTCGACCCAGAATCTCGGCGATTATGTGGATCCATAAACATAAGAGTCACAAATATTTATCAACAGTTTTCTTTATTTTCTTATACGAGTATGCGTGTATGTATATTCGAATATTTGTTAATTTTTAAAACATTGCTTTCCTCCCGTCCAATTCCTTCTTCAGACAATATGTAATAGTTTCAATATACATTTAAATTTCTATGTTTTAGGCATTCCTAAGGCTACATTGTGCTCTCCGCATCTAATCGATTATTGCTTTAAGTGGCTAAGTGGGTAATGCGGCTGTTTAAGACAGCTTCAACATCTACTGGACACATATCAAAACTCTAAACATTTTCATTTTCTTACACTTAAAAATTGTTGCGTAATTTTGAAAAATTTTGGGATTTAATAAACGAAAAAATTTTTAGAACAAAATATTGTAACATTGTAAAAAAATTGTTCATGCAGACCAGACTATTCTGCAAATTGTTTTGGCATTCATATAAATAGGTTGGTCTTATGAAGCAATTTGTGCATTCGTTTATGTATAAATATCCAAATAAAATAGGAATAAATAGAGTTGTTTCTATGCGACAAAAAGGGTCCAATCTAATTAAGCTCGGATATAACCGAACTTTAGTTATTAAATCTGTCAATATCTTCTCTTTGGAACAAATCGGCCGACTACATGTATATTAAATATATCGAAGCTACACAAATATGGCCATGTAATCATCAGGTAGGTAGGAGTCCTAATGGAAGCGCGAGCCAGCGACGACAAGGAATATCTTCTACAATCATGGGTATTCAGGTATATGATAATATAACCGTCAGATTAAAGTAAAAAGTCATAATATAGACGTCGGTTTTCAAGTCTGTTACATTACAGCGCACTGTAACTTGAACTTTTTGGCTAGATGCGCGCATACATTTGCCGTCGCTAAGAACTAATAATGCGAAAATAACAGAAAGAATGAAAAATGCAAATTGAAATTAAACAAAAACAATATCTACTGCTATACGTTTATGTAAAAAATTTAAGTATGTACATACAATTTTGCGCATTAACTTAATGTTAAAGTTAAGGGGTTGGATTGCATGTTTAACTGAGTATTCGTGAGCAAGTAAAAAAAAAAATGCACAAAATAAGTAAAATGTATCTAAAAAGAATGCAGTTTTTCATAGGAAATTGCAAAAAATGTATGTGTGTTTAAAGTTAAAATACATTGTATATTATGGGTATGTAAACACTCCTATGGAAATTTAAAAGTTTCGCTGCTTAAAAAAGCTTGCGTAAGAGATATCTTAGACTAAATAAAAAATCAACAATTTTACTCTCACACTTAAATACCAACTAATAGCTACATATTTATGTAATTAGCTTATGTACTTATATGCATTTATAACTTTTCTCGGACTTGCTTAAGCAATTTTGGCGTCTACGGTATTAGTAAGGTTGTTGTTGTTATTGTTGGTATTGAACTTGGCTGCTGCCGGCTTGAGCAAAATAAACTTAGGGTTAGCTACCACTGTGGTGGTATTGGCCGCATTGCTGATGGTGAGGGGCAGCGGGAGTGCCTGTCCCTGCTGCACTGCGGCCGCACTCAAGGCAATCTTTTTGGCCACACCGCCACCTGGGGCGGGCGTAATGGTAACCGTACTAGGCGCTATGGCATTCATGGCCGCCGCCTGGTTGGTGGCTGCCAACGAACAGGCGGGCAATATGGTAGTCACCCCATTCTCATGCTGAATGGCATTGGCCGCATTGAATATTGCACGCATTTTATTACAGTTGTTGGTCGTGATTGCTGGAAAAGCTGCGGTGGTGGCGTTTGTCACAGTCGCGCCCGCGCTGCTGCTGATACTTCCTTGAGATCCGAGTACATTTATTTTTAGCGTGTTCTGGGTAGAGGATAAGCTGCTGTTGCTATTGGTGCTGGCTATGGTCTTTTGCAGTACAATGCTGCCATTAATTTGGTTTCCAGTTGCTGCTCCTCCTGGTGATGTGGGGGGCACCTGTTGGCGCTGTTGCACGAAACGTGCACCGAACTCATTGCCAGCCAAAACGAGATTTTGGGCCTGACCTGTTATGGGCAATCCACTGGCAAGTATGAGACGTTGCATGCCCGCCACACTGCGCGTCTTTCTTTCCAGCTGCAGATCATCTTGCTGTTTGAGAAACGAAACGACATTAGTCCCCAATTAAAGTTAATTTGCATATAAACGACATACCGTGGGCGGACTGACGGATTTGCGCTCTAGAACATGCTCATCAAAGCCCGAGTCTGAAGAGTTGTCATTGAATTTGGTGGCCACGGACGACGAAGTAGAGCAGTTGGATGAACTGGACAGCGAGGAGGGTGAAGCAGCCCCAATAGCGGTGGTTGTTATGTTATTGTTGCTGCTGCTGTTGCTACCCCCCGTGGGCTTTAGTATGAGTGATAGACCAGCCTGTGCTGTCGTTGCTAGCAATTTGGTGGAATGTGGTGGCATATGTGTGCTCGGTGTAGTCGGCGATAGTGGTGACGACAAGGCCTCAGTCTTATTCAATGGAATTGGACTTATTCTATTAATATCACCCTGTGGAAATGACTCCGATTGTCGTTTGAAATACAAATGATGTTTCTTCAGAGCGGGCGTCGTCGTCATCGCCTGCTTCACGCTGGACACCACGGGTGGCTTTGGCAGCACTGCAGTTTGATTTGTTATGGGATTTGCAGCCACCGTCTGAGGCTGATCTTGACTATGACGACGCAAACGTCGATGCTTTTCACACGGCCTGTATAGCTCCGGATCAATTATGTAGCAGTAGCTGCCAAGAGCCAGACTCTGAAAAACAATACCACAGCAGACTTCCAGTCGCACCAGATCGTGTTCCTCAAAGAAGGGCACATTGTCGACAGCTCGTCGATGCTTCATTGGTGGCAGCATGCGACGTCGCTTACTGCCTGTCACCATAACGCGTTGTGGGCGATTTCCTCTTGGGGCTCCACTGAGACTGTTGTTATTGTTGGCCGCCAAGGCTGCTGCTGCAGTGCGTTTGCGTGTCTGATAAGGCGCTGCTGTTGATTCGCATGTGGGTGGGGTTTGGGCCCTCTGATCCTCATCGTAGCTTTCATTCGAGTCGCTCGGATGCTCCGAGGTGGGTGAATGACTCTTGGAACGATTGGATGCTGCTGGTGCCGATAGCTTCGATGTTGCGGTTGCTTCTGCCGCTGTTACAGAATTCTCCGAAGTTGTTGCTGTTATCTTGCCCTTGCGGTTCTTCTTAAAGATTTTGGCAAATTTCTCTGGTATAAACGAATTGCTGCTAGAATTGGTGGCGCTTGCCTTGCCTTCGCTATCATTGTCACGTTTCTTTTGCTTTGCCAATGATTTTGTGCCTGGTCCGGCTCGTGCATCCACCACCTATTTAGCCCAATTAAAAGAGATGGGATAGAGACGATTAAATTATATAGAAAAAAAGTTAATGGTTATTTTATACTTACATGCCCCCAATGGCGTTTGCTGCCCACTGGAAGGCGCTTGTAACGCTTCACAAGCAACACACAGGCATTGCATATTTCACCATTGCGTGGCTCCTCCAAATTGAAGCATTGCATCGATTCCTTCTCATATTTGCGCGAGGCGGTAAAACGCGAACTGCTCGATTTGGCGCGACAAATGCAGCAGCCATCGGCAGACCGATAGACGCGTGGTTTATGAAAATTAAACATGGCCTTGGTGGGTTGTTAGGATTTTCGGAGTCACAATTGTTTCGTGCTTGTGGTTGTGATTGTTTTAGTAACGCGTTAGACTAAAAATTGTTATTGTTGGTGTTTATTCTTTTAAAAGTTTATGCCCGGTCTTTAACAATTATTATTTAGCTGTTGATTGTGCATTGAGTTTTGAGTGTGCTTTTTTTTTTGCTTTCTTTTTACATATTATTATTACACTTTATATAAAATTACACTATGAGTGGTTATTTGGTCTATTCGCTATTTGTGCACATGTATTTTTCTTGTACTGCGGTCTGGCATACGCATCCATCGTCTGGAGTCTAACATTATGTGCTGCATTTGTAAAGTAGGGGTAGCGTGAGGCACTGCAATTGAAAAACAAACAGAAATTCAAATTTAGAACGTTTGCCTTAAGACAGTGTTGATAAACAGCTACATACATACAGCTACAGTGCTGTTAACATCTAGCAACCGCGCTGTACAAAGTATACAATGTATGATGATATAAATATGGGTAAGTGCATTCACTCATACACAACTTTTTAAACATTTTCATTGTGTGTTCTTATTTATAAAACTTATATATGTATATATATTTTTATGCAATTATTGCGTATAAATACATTGATACAGCTGGCAACCCTGGGTCTATCTATGTATACATTTAAATATATCAAATTGACTTGCTTATAGCACTTGAATAAAATCAGATGTTGTTGTTTTAAAATTTACTTCCCTTTTGTTTAACAGAAACAAATAAATAATAAATTAATGTCAGCTGGCATTAAAATGCATTTAAACTGGCTTGATCTGCTTACTGTCGTGATGCCATACTTGTTTTCATTTTTTTTTCTCCCCCCCTTTTGTGATGCTTTACACACGGAACAGCAAGAAATATTTCATTTATATTCGTATTATCACCTTGCTAAATTCTTGCACAGTTTACATATACATACATATATACATAGTAATGCTAATTAAATTTAGCGAACAAGTATTTTTTAATTTTTATATTTTCAAACAACAAAATAAAAAACGAACAAGAGTGAGAGAGCAGCTGACAAGCAACAGCACTCAAAAAATCAAATAAAAGCAGTACCGCGTGCAGTCACACATACGCCAATCGCAGTGTTGTTGCTGCAAAAGTTTTAACGCGTATCATGCTGTTGTTTAGTGTTGGTTTTGTGGGGGAGCTGCTGCTGCAATAACAAAACGCAGCTCAGAAAAAGGGACACAGCCACATTGAAAGGCAGCAATAACAACAACAGTAGTTCCAACAGCAACGAGAGACGTGACTTTCAAGAGAAGCTCCCAGGTGCGTCGTCGACGTTGCCATCGCTACGCTTGTTGTTGGTATTATTGTGCATGTACTACGGTAAAGCCAGCCACTTTTTCGTTCGTTCGCTCTCTCAGTTGTTGTTTTTGGGGACACGGACACAGATTTTCGAACGTTGGCGTTCAAGTAAACTGCGTGTGTATACGCCGGCAGCTTGCATATGTACATAAGTATATATGTACATATTTATGTATGAGTTTCCGTGTGCGATTGTTGTAGCGTCTCGTTATTTGTTATAAACGTTAAAAAATTTAGTTCAATTGTCATTAAGAGCTAAGTGGTTAAGTTAGACTTGCTGCCTACTGACCACCTTACTTCATACTTGAATGTATAATATGCATATGTATGCAAGTAATTGTGTATGCGGCGATTTAGAGAAAATGTGCCCAGCAAATAACAGGTTTAAAATTTTTTAGATATTTTTCATTTACCCCCGTTGTCATTGCTGCAGCTGCCCACGCCAACATACACAAACTAACTTACATATGAATGTATCAAAATTAAAAGCACTTTAAATTTGCATCAATTTTAGCTACATATGTATGTATGTACATAAATATAATGCTGATTTGTTTATTAGAATCTGTTATTAAAATATCACTCTTTCAACTCACATACTATCGCAATATTTGGCAACTTCTTAGATTAGCAGCATAAATTATTCATTTTCATATAGTTTTAACAGTTACTTGTCCTATTTTTTGCAATACTTTTATAGTGAAGTGAAATTGTGTAAGACACAATTAACATTCAAGTTTAAATTATTTATATAGCTGAATTTCATGCACAACGCGAAATCTATACAGGCTTCGCTGCCGAAACGCGTCTGCACGCAAGAAACACAAAGAAAAACTGACAAAAAATTTAAGCGAAGCCGCAACTGCGGCTGTGTGAATGTATACATACGATACGTCCCTAGTGTCTTTGTGTGTGTGCGTAATATGTTGATTCCAAATGCAGCGCAAAACGTACGAAGCGAATATGTAGCACAAAGCAAATGCAGTGATAACACAGCAACAGCAGCTGAGTGTTCACTGTTGTCAGTCGTCTCTATTTGTTGGTGTATGTACGTGAGAATGTGCGTAGCAAAAGCAACAGCAAAAAATTCCGGTTGTAAAAAAAACACATTTACACACATACAGACGTACGTAGCGCAGATACAGGGAAAAACAGGCGAGAGCGAGAGCACAAAACATTTGCATAACATGTACAGCGTTGCCACCTGCTTAAACGCGCCAAGAACAATATTTGAACGTATGTAAATACATATGAATGTACTCTTTATATGCGTACATTGCGGCTTAGATAGCACGTTGGTTGAACTTGTCATATAGGAATTGATAATGTTTCATACATACATACATACATAATGATACACTGAAAATAAAATATACCAAGAAATTAAAATTTATATTACATACATACAGATGCACACACATATGTATTGTAAGTATGTATGTATGCAAATTTATACATTTGCGAAGAGAAAAGAAAACGCGTGCGACGAGATGCCCTGATAAGCAGCTGTTATTCGATTACGTTATCAAGAAGCATTGCTCAATTTTTTGTTTGCAATTCATACACATTCATATACAGATGTACATACAATGTGCTCTATTTGTGTAATGCCTACATGTGTACACCCAACAACAAAACAATATTGAAAATACAGCATTGGCGCGTAATTCCGCAGCGTCATTTAAGAAAAATGTAATACGTGACAACGGAGACGTATAACATAGAAACTTACAACAAAAGCAACATAGAAACGACCCCACCACTGACAAAACATACATACATACATGTATGTATACAAGTCGTTCATGCATAGGGCCAAAACACACGCAGAAGCATGAGAGAAGTTTCAAAGAGGGTACAAATTGTTATGCAAGTGTGGCAACTCTTATAATACAACAGATGATCTAAAAAAAATCTTACAACACTGCATCCGAAGGCCAACCGATATCAACAAATTGTGGAATACATCAGACGAAAGCGCAAAAGCAACAAACAATTTGGTCGGGTGTGCTACGTGCGAGTTGTGACGCAGTCGGCACCAATAAAAATAGGGTACAAGCACCTGCCTCTTGTTAATGGATGACTTATTTAAATGGGAGCTTCTATAACCTTTAAGCATACAAATTTCATTTTCCATAAAATAAAGTTTACCCTGGAAATGGTTTAATCCGATAAAAAATGTCAGGTTTTTATTGCTATTGCAAATGTATGACATACAAACATACTATCTGTACTACCTATGTATGTATGTTTGTACATACATATACATACATACATGTATGCATACATACATATGCATGTACAAATGTAAATAGTTAACAGAATACCAACGTTGACCGCTACCGCCGGTCTATAGATGCAACCCGTTTTGCGCCTGTGCTTCTGTTCATAGTGTGTGTATGTGCGGCTTTTTGGCTTCTTTTACACCAACAAAATTTCATGCGCGCCACTGCAAAAACTGTACTTGTGCGAAATCAGAATGAGGAACAAGGCCCAACAATCAAACGGCAACTGTTGCTGTGGCGATGTTTCCGTTTTTCTGTGAACAATTTCGCGAGTGGGAGGTGGCATGTATGTATGTAAGCACATACACATACATATTTGCAAAAACACGTATTTATTTATTTACACACATATGTACATATGTATGTAGATAGACGTAGCACTTTAAATATAAATTAATGCATTAAACTCAGTTTATTGTCATAAAAATCCACCTACATACATACACACATACGCATCTAAATACAACTGGACAGAGTTGACCTTGTTTTTGTTTTGTTTGGTCCGGTCCTCTGCGGCACGCACAAAATTCAACTTTCCTACACGTTGGATGTGCGTACATTCATACGTATATGTGTCTATATGTACATATATATGTATGTATATATATACATACATATGTCGACGGAAAGTGAAAGACAACGCAATGTGAAGTTCACACATACACGTATGCATGAGTACACTCACGCATACAGACAAATATAAATATTTATGTCGTTGCCTTCGTCTTATTGAAATTCTCATAAGAATGTGGAACAAAAGCAACAAAAACTATTCTTGAAACAGGTTGTTGTTGTTAATATGTAGCTATGTGTATCCAAAAATAACGGTTGTAAGCTCGCACACACACACTCATTCAGTCTGTCATGGTAAATAAAGTGGCAGCGTAATACGACACAATAACACGATAAAGGGGTAGAAAACGAAGCCGCTTCAAAAAAAAGAAAGTAAAAATCTCTGAGAAATTTACTCCAACTTAATTTTTGGACATTTAACTTAACTGTTTTACACACACACACACTTATTTACATACACAACATGAATATGTATGTATGTACATACACGTGTGCTGCAGCCATTTTAGCCTGTTCATATAAGCACCAGCTCGGTCTATTAACTGAGCGCACCAAAAATGGAATTGGAAGTAGGTTTCGCGCTCACCTGTGCGCTGCTTTTTGATGGCAGTTTTTCTCTTACTTTTCTGCTATCAAGCAGCACACGGCGGTGTATGAGCGAGAGGGAAAGATCAACTTACTCGTTTGATCGCATTGCCTGTTAAGTAATAGATTACATGTTGTGTTTGTATGTGGGACATAGTCAACGAATGTTGTACCCTCTTGAATTGATGGAGGAGATATACTCTTGTTTGGTCAATAGCATTCAGTTGCAAATCTGTTTTAGGCAACGAAAGAAACCATTTGATTTATAAAACCCATATGTATTTATGGGACATGAGAACATGGAAGCCGAGAAGTAAGAATAAGATATGTATGTATGTATGTATGAATGAACGTTTGTGTCAGGGGGAGCATTGCAAATAATTTTGTGGGGTCGCTAAAAACAACACTTTACGGTCGTCAGTTTTCAGTCCCTGGTTCTACAGGGTGCATACATACGCACATATGTATTCATACATACATACATATGTGTATAGGGATTGAAGAGAAAGCGCGCGCAAACAGATAACTAATTAAAAATGAAATACGAAAGGCCATTGTTGCACAGCTACGCTCGCACCATTTTGAGGCCCTTTCGCTGTACTTCCGTAAAATTGTTTAACTGATTGTTTGCTATTGGACTCATCTGAACGAGGTTAAAACGCTACCGCCGACTACGACGGCAATGATGCGCGAGCAAAGTAACAAATAACATTGAAAGAGTTCAAAGGCAGGCGAGTATTGGAAATAGGTTTTTCATACGTTTGATTTGCGCGGCGAAGGTCAACAACAATTCGGCAAAACGGTAACAGCTTTATCTACTGACACCGAAACAAGTTATTTAAAACATATGTATGTATGTACATGCACAAATATGTGTGTACGATATGTACAAACGGACGCACACGCACGGTGAACTCAGCACGACAATGGCTGGTGAGAATGCACTACTATGCGATATAGCCTTCATTTGCAAAAATGTAATTTGGTGAGATATTCCCTATATCCACATATTTACTTCAAATTTCAACCCACGGTTAAATCTGCAAACGCACTCACAACTACATATGGATATATATACATAATTATATGTACATATGCGGTTTTCTTACCCCTTGTATTTGAATGTGATTGAGGCGGCTTTTTGCCACATATACACTTTTACAGTTTTTGTTAATAGTGTAGAATGCTTTTATAAACAGTATAAAACACTTTAGAGTTTTAATTGCACATATATTTGCACTTGTTATTAATGTTTTGAAGAGAGACGTTTGAGCGCGTTTAAGTGTGATTCGAACTACACAAAATTTCACTTAGTGAAGTACACAATAGATGTTTTTGGCACGACGCTACTAAAGATGAGCAATACTTAAGTGGCAGTGCTACCACATGCACAAATAATACGGTATCGCTCAGCTCTAAGCTGTCTACCGCTACTATACTTATAAGCACTATAAACTTTGTATGTTATATGAACCCATAACTATTCAGTTTATTCCCAAAAGCTCGTCAGATAATGCATTTTATAATTTAGTTTTGCTGGTTAAATTTTAAATCAATCAATTGAGATTCATAGCGTTCTTAACCGTATTTACTTCGTGAAAAATTGAAATTTTCGCATTGATTTAGTAGTTATGACACTTATTTCTACTAAATAATTTAATCCTACGCGTTATTGTAAATCCCCAATTGCGATTATTTATTTATAATCATACGTTTTATGCACATCTGTATGTATGCTATCGGCGGGAATTATGACGTAGCGCAGCGTTGCCAGCTCTGTGAAAATTAGATTATGTTACGATGAGTGAGTACATTTAGGATAGTAGACATGATAATTGAGTACATTATAAGAGCGCATGCGAAAATTGCATATATGTGCACTTGTGTGCGTGTGTGTGTCTGTCTGTGTGAGTGTGCGAATGTTGTCTTTCGATAGCACCGCTAAAGAAGAGTAGAAACACTAAAAACGCCGGGAAAAATAATGAAAATAAGGGACCACAACAGATAAAGGTCACGCCATTGGAACACGCTGTTACATTAATGAGACTCTTGAAACCGGCTTGGGTGCACCACGATGGTAAGTAGATAAAAAAGCCGCCCGCCATGTGTTTTGTTGACTGCAGCTGCACGTTACGTCCATTGTTGCTTCATCTCTGTTCGTGTTACTTGTGTCGCAGACAAACAGATATTCTCAGTCGATGTGCACCAGGATTGCCTTAAATTCGCCACTGGCGGCCAGGGTAATGACTCGGGGACTGGTCGCGTTGTCATATGGAACCTGTTGCCAGTGCTGTCGGAGAAGGAAGAAAACGATGTAAATGTGCCAAAGATGCTGTGTCAGATGGATCAGCACTTAGGGTGTGTTAATTGTGTGCGGTGGTCCCAGGACGGAAAGCTTCTGGCCTCTGGCTCGGATGACAAGCTCATTATGATATGGCGGAAATCGCAGGTATATGTGGAATCAAGTGATACTTCAAAGATGCATCTTCTTCAACCCAAATGAAAAATTTACAGGGTCCCAGCGGGGTGTTTGGAAACGGCGGCATGAAGAAGAATCCCGAAACTTGGAAGTGCTACTACACACTGCGTGGCCACGCGGGGGATGTCCTCGACTTAGCATGGTCGCCGGGAGATCGTTATCTGGCCAGTTGCAGCGTGGACAACACTGTCATAGTTTGGGAAGCACATGCATTTCCGCGTATTTTGACGGTTCTTAAGGGCCACACCGGTCTAGTGAAAGGCGTGTCCTGGGATCCGGTGGGCAAATTTCTCGCCTCACAGTCAGACGATCGTAGCATTAAGATATGGAACACTACGGAATGGACGTGTAGTGCAACAATTACTGAACCCTTTGAGGAGTGCGGCGGCACAACTCATATCTTGCGTCTGTCTTGGTCACCGGATGGACTCTACCTGGTGTCGGCGCATGCAATGAACGGCGGTGGCCCTACCGCTCAGATTATCGAGCGCGAGGGCTGGAAGTGCGACAATGATTTCGTCGGCCATCGCAAGGCGGTAACTTGTGTTCGTTTCCTCAACTCGATTCTTAAGCGACAATCTACCGAGGGTAGCGGCGGTAGTCCCAGCAAGATGGTCCAATGTTGCTGTTTGGCCGTGGGCTCACGCGATCGCTCGCTGTCTGTATGGATGACAGCGCTGAAACGGCCTCTGATTGTCATCCACGAACTGTTTAACGACAGCGTACTAGATCTGTCCTGGGGCCTCAGGGAGTGCCTGTTGATGGCATGCAGTGGCGATGGCAGTATCGCCTGCTTGCAGTTTGCTGACAACGAGCTGGGCACGCCGTTGTCCGAGGACGACAAGAATGCGATGTTTCAGCGCGAGTATGGCAAAGCGCTGGGCAACGGCATCTTGAGCAGCGCTAGTGTGAATTCTATTGTGGAGCATCCCGATCTGTTAGGCTTCCAACAGGATCGAGTGTGTGCACCCACGCTCGGTCTGCCTCCAGCGTCTAGCTTTCCAGCACCCAATGGTTCAATGGAGCGACGGACGGGAGTCATACAGACGCCCGCGCATGGTTCACCAGCAAAGGCCATTAGTAAGCAAACGGAGACGCGGACAAAGGATGGAAAACGTCGCATAACGCCCATGTTTATACCATTGCATGAGCAGACAGCAACGACGTTGACCACAGCCCTACCTACAGAGAGCGAACAAGTGGTTAGCGTGGAGGTGCCAGCGGCGACGCCATCGACGGTGCCCGAACCCCGTCTTAGTAAACAGGACGAGGGACGTCTGGACTCGCGCTTAAAGATGTTGCCGCCCTCTCAGCGCCGACATCCCATTCCATTCGATCCTGCGAACCTCGAGAACTTCCCGCGCCAACTGAACAATAATCCTGTACGCACACCCACCGATCATCAGGGCTCCACCATCGGTCCGAAGCTCAACATCACGAGCAGCAGCAAGTGTGAGTTCGTCAAGGCAGCTCTGGACCATCGCATTCACGTGCAGAATGGGCATCTGAAGACCACCTACGGTCTGGTCGCCAAAGTGAGCGCTTTTACGCTGCGGGAACGGCTGTGGGAGACTTACGTTGGCTCGCCTGTTGTGAATGTGAATTTGTGTAGCAAGTATGTAATGCTGTGCTCCCTAGATGGCAGCATGCGCCTGGTGTCCATGGAGACGGGATGTGCCGTATTTCCGGCCATTTCACTTACCACCACTGCCGTGCATTGTGCTTTTGTAAGTGAAGCGAGAGTCTATCTATTGAGACATGGTGTAACAAACTCTTTCTCTATCTCTCTCTCTCTCTTTCGCTCCATGGCACAGAGTCCCGATAACAGTTTGGTGGGCGTGCTCACTGAATGTGGCATGCTACGCATCTGGAACATTGCTCGCTGTTGCGTCACCCTTGCCACCAACTGCAACGAACTGCTGCTCAAGTATGGGACAGCCGTTCAGTTCGCCATTACGGACAAGGGCAAACCGCTTATTGGATTTCCCAATGGCAATTCGTATTCCTATTCGCAGAACTTGCAGTCTTGGTTAATACTCAGCAACAGGGATGCTATCATGTTCAATGGTGTGCGAGCGACACTGCCTCGTGATGTGGAGCGTGTCACGCGGGACTTTCCGCTCCTCAGCATGCAGGTCAATACGCAGAACTTTATCAGCCTGGGTAATGCCCTTGAAATGTAAGTCTTCTACTCTTGTTTTCTGAAATTTGTATTGATTCTCTCTATCTGTCTCTCTCTCTCTCTCTCTTTCGCTCGATTTGCAGAAACACCGAGGACTGGCAGCAAAGCGCGAAGATAATTTTCATTGAGAATCAAATCAAGCTGTGCGAAGCTCTGGAATCGTTGGAGGAACTGAAACATTGGTACATGATGATGGTGTTCCATCTGGCCAGCTACGGTCAAGAGAAACGTTTGCGCATCTTCCTGGATGAGTTGCTCCATGGCCCGGAAACTGTATCGATGCAGGTAATCACGATATATTTTCATTGTTGGTCTCTAGCTCGCACTAAAGCTACCATCTCATCACATCACATCACATCCACAGCTCATACCCAGGGACGACTTAATGCAGAGTGTCCTGGACACCCTAAAGCCACATTTGCGCTGGCAGCGTCTTTACGTTGAGTACGTGGACCTTTTTAAATTTTGCCGCAACGAACGGAACGAACTACTTTCCAGCAGGCCCGTATCGCCGCCTAGCCCTCCAATCTTCCCAGTGCCGATTTTAACGACGACAACGACAACATCAGCAATAACGACCACGTCGCCCACACCGTCAGCCACAACAACAACAGATGCAGCAGCAACCACTACATCAACAACGACAACAACTACGGCAGCAGCAGCCACACCAGCCGTTGAAGTGGACGCCACCTGAGGCGTAAAAACCTACATCCATTACCCATTATTACCCATTCAACGGGGGACCTTTTTCCCTCAGTTCCTTTTGTTTTCTCTTAAGCTTTAAGCGTACACATTTTTATACAAATATACACCATTTTTATTATGCGTCTCATTTAGATATTTATGCATATACTCTCATTTGTAAGCTATACAATTGGCGGTTAGGGCGTTCACATCGCAATACCTCTGCATCAAAATCGTGTTTTTTCGTCCTCTAGATCGATATCGTTTAAATCTATACAATTTATTGCTTCTCTGTTTTTGTAAATTTAAGGCAATTTCAATAGTAAATACTGAAATAAAAGCTCAAACTGAATTATTTTCAATTGACGTCACAATTTCACAATCTCAATTAAAACGTGACCCCAGCTGAAATGTCAACAGCTCTGAGGTTTTTCTTGTCATCTGTCTATAATTGGAAAAGAGTTTCTTCATTACTATCAATATTTGGCGTTCTACTATGAAAAAAAAACGTAAACCCCTTGAAATAAACTCTTTATACCATATCATACAATTGTTTTTTAATTTTTTTCATTAACGAAATATTTCATTAATGTAAAACTCGAAAAGTCTGCTTCCTTGAATTAGCTGCAAGAAGTGTATTTGAATCATGGCCAACAGAAAACGGGCCATTTTCTAAATAAGGGTTAGGCTCACAAACTAAGACAACACTTTGTTTTTGGTGTTCTATAGAGAAGTCAAAATCTTATGCGAATAAAATGCCAAACCGAAACCTTAAAAATATTTTCCACTAATTTGGCATGAATTTTGTCAATAATCCACTGAAATTTAGGTAAACTATTTAGTATTACTTGTATATACATATGAGGATTGGCATTTAGTTGATATATTTTGTTGCCTCATATACATGGTATTTGATTTTAGTTAGTTACTATAGAAAAATCAATTCAATCGTCGGTTGCTTCATCTACATACATATATACTCGTATATGTTCTTTAAAGATATCAAGTCATACATGTCTTAATAAATTTAATTAGATTATTATTTTACACAACGCCATTGTAAGAAACTATAGATATAGTAGTATATTAACAAACCTATATATCTACAAGTACATACTACCAGCTACTTAACAATATGTTATTTCAAATTGGGATAATTATAGCTCCCAACTTGGTAAGTCTTTACCAAAACATTGCCTGTAGAATCCAACGGAGTCAGAAAACTACATTCGCCGCCCTTCCTCGTAGAAATAACTCTTAGATAATTGGGAGCTTTGTATTTGAAATTGTAAACTGCTTCAAATAATCATAAGGCTAGTTTTTTTATTTTTCGTACGTCTACATACATGTGTGGATATAATTCTATATATATATTTTAAGCCTTAAATGTTCAGTATTTTAATGTGCCGTCTCTTAATTATTGTTGATTATTTGTACGTCCAGCATGTTCCGCCTCACAATAACTTGGCGTTTGAAATACTTATCCGATAAAAAGTGTCTTGTATTGCAACATTGCATGGTTGAGCAGTTGTAAGCTCCATGAAAGGTTCATTATAATCTTAAACAAAAACCCTTCTCCACCATGGTCGACATTTGCAACTTTTTGAAACTAACATTCAATACAGAAAATATAAAAATAAAAACCTAGTGTTTAGCTCCAACGACTTGTCGTTATAGAAGTGCACCTTATCTGGCCTGGCTCTGTACATGAGATACATGTGCTTTATTAAATAAGGATGTTGACCTGGTGGGCGATTGACATCGAATTGCCCCAGAACCGAATGACGGAAGTTATCCCACAGCCGCAGCAGCTGCGGCCGCCTCGGGCTATTGAATGGTGTAGTGGGGTCCTGGCGTTGGCACGCTCTTTAGTGGGGAGTCGAACTCAACTGGCGGCGGCTCTAGTATGGGCGTGTCGGGCGCTACTGTGCCGATCCGTTCCTGGAGCGTCTCGTAGAGCTTGTGAATATGCTCGTTGTGTGCCGTCGTCGGCTGCATCGCCTTCATGAGTGTGGCAAGACGGCCGGCGGGCAGTTTGTTGTGCACATACCACAGCAATTTAAGCATGTGCCGGGAGGTGACATTCTCACGCGTGAGACCGGCGAAAATGAACTCGTCGAAGAGTGTTGTGCAGAAGTCTTCGGTGGCGAACTCCTCGCTCATGGGTATGAGCAAGGCAATCTTTCCGAGAAATACAAATAAAAATAATTTAATTAAAGAATATGCATTGAGTTGATTTATTTAGGCCACATACCAGAGAGTGCAAGAAGGGGTCCTCGTAAGCACGATCGTCTTTGCAGGCCGACAGAATGGCGAGGACACGCAGCACACCAACGCGGTCCTTGGTGCGTGCCGTGTGTAAGGTATAGTACATGGCTAGTATGCTGGCCACCGAACTCTCCTGGATGTATGCCTCAACGGCATCTGGTGCCGGACCCGAATGCTCGATGGTCGTCAGCGCAGATTCGCGTTCATCTGGCGGCAGTTTCGCATGCAGACTGCGACATTGATCATCAACCATAAGTGACATGAGCGCGGGCAGAAATTTGGTAACTACTTGGCAGTCCAGTTTCGGTTCCTTGAAGTCCTGCGAATCGATCATTACCCAGGCACTTAGGCCTAAAGCCAGCATTCGCAGAAGCAGGATCAAAATTTGATTGTCCCTTGGCAGACCCTCATTGTTGATTAGATGTTGCAATATCTTGATAGCCGAAGTGGCCAAAAAATTTATTGCGTAGGGATCGCAAAGGGTCATGGAAAGATCACCCAACACCTGCTCCTGACCGCGCTTAATGTTGTCGAGGAATCCTTGCAACTCACGGGATCGCTTAATGTCCACATTCTTCTCACGTATGCATGCATCCAGACACCAAGTGAACTTGTGGCATGGATCAATCGAAATAATCTCCTGCACCTCGAGATCGTGCAGCGCCATTAGAAGTTCAGCCCGCAGGGTGCAGTAATGCACATTACGGGTGCGTAGGAAGAGCGTGCGGAGGAACTGCAGCACCATGTCGTACAGTTTGACGCTGGTGCCAATCATGTTGGCTAGCTTTTGCACCACCTCACCTTGACGCCGCACTTTCGGAGTCGGATGGAAAAACAAATTGTTGAGGTTTGTGTGGTCAAACAGCGTGTGCTCCTTCTCGCGGATGTATTGGGATAGTAATGGTGACACCTCATCACCAAATAGCGACTGATTGTCGCGCCAAATCTGGCGCTTCACCTCCGTGTCTGTGTCCGCGTACAGTTCGCGATCGCGCACCAAAATGCGCAGATATTTGTCATCAATGTGCTGCGTGTTTCGCAAAATAGCCATTACGACGGGTCGCAGCGACTTGACCCGCACTACGGGAAAGCTCTTTATCAACAGCTCCTTTAATTTTTTGTCGCGCTCACGCGCCTCTCTCTGTCCCAACTCATTGATGTGCGCTATTAGCTTATCGCGCAGCTCCTCCATTAGTGATGTGTGGAAGTCCAGGCGGCGCACTCCATGGAGATCCAGCAATGGTAGCATCGGCCGCAACGAGGGCAAAAGCACTCCATTCTCCAGCTGCAATATGCAAAGGGGCAAGGTGGAATGTTTTAGCGGGTGGTTTCGCGCGCTTTTCGCAACGTAAACAAACCTGAAAACTCTCAATGGCTTTTAGCGGGTCCGTACATGAGGTGAGAGCCTCACGTAGGTAGGCCTGGCCCGGTATGTTCACCTCCTCAAGTCCAGTGCCATTGTTTTTGACGGGCGCACTCATTTGCAAGGAAGTTTTAATTATAAATTCAAGCACCGCTAACAAAATAAAACAATATGCTCAAACATACACACCAACAATGCACGGTTGAAAAAAACACTACTACAGACGCAGTGTTGCGCGCATTTCGTTATCGGTGTTGTAATCGGTGAACTACCATCGAATATAAGTGTCACCATATTAACAGCAATGGTTTCCATTATATTAAAACTCAAATGGCTGGACACACTTGCATTATAAAATATATGGAAATATAATTGAAATATACATAATTTTTAATTGAGCGTCCTTCGTTTTCCTCGCGCTACACAACATTAAAAAATATAATATAATAACATTAAAATAATAATAAACTCATTGAATGCAACAATGAAAGTGTTAAATAATTAAATTGTGGAAGCAACAGTAGCCTGTAACTCTAGTGCCAGTGGCACCAGGCAAAAGTGCAAAGATACGGGCCCGGATCACATGGAAAACAGGGTCCGTGCTGCTAAAAAGATATTATTAAGGCAAAGTGTGTGCTTTAAATCAATTATAGGCAATTAATAATGCATTTATAGACAGGTGTGCTAAGTAAAACGCATTGTTTTTGAATTTGCAAGGGCAGCCAAAGCAGCAAACAACGAAAGAAAAAAATCTGACTCGTTCGTTTGCGCCGCATTCAACAGCAGCCCATTACGACGAGACAGGCTGGCCCTGTCATCGAAACGAGTAAACAATAACAACAGCCCGTTTGTTTTTCAGGCGTCTCGTCGGGCCGCGCGCTTACAAGTTGCATTAAATTACACGAAAAAATAAATGTAAGAGCGCGACACAAGTGCAATCGAAAAATCGGGCTGAGAAGTCGACGTTGTAAGGCAAGGCAATAGAGAAATTTCTGGCGCATACGCCCACACACATAAGCAAAAACAAAACCGCCTCACCAACTCCCGCCCACCCATAAAAGCAGCGCAATGTCGTCTACGTCAGAGCGCAAACGCTACCACAAGGACAACGCGCCCACCGATGATATATTAACACTTATAAATCTAGTACGCCAGAATCCTGCACTATATAATTATAAACTGCAGCCGAATCAACGACGCCGCTCGGACATTCTTAGTGGTTGGCAGGAGGTGGCTCAGCAAATTGGCAGTAAGTAGAATGAAAGACTCACCAGCAGCTCATTTATATTGAATGACTGAAATTTTCAGATAAATACACCGTCCAGGAGGTGCGGCGAAAGTGGAAGAATCTACGCGATACATACCATCAGTATCGCCTGCGCACCCCGAAATGTATTGAGGGACGTCTATCCAAGTGGCGCTACGCTAAGGAGCTCGAATTTCTATCGAAAGTGTATCAGCCGAAGCTTAAATCGCAGCGCCAGCAGTCCTACGATGCCAGTACCACGACTACATTACCTATTGGCGCCATGTTGCAGCTGAAGCCGCAAGACGATGATGACGAGGATGTTGTGGACGATGATGGGCAATCGGACCATGCACTTTCGCATCACGCAACCACACAAATCACCATGGTCAACGACGAAACTGAAACCTTCATACTAACCGCGTACGAGGAGAGCGTTGCCGATGACGTAGTCACCCACCATCACACACACTCGAGTGGACATCACCATCAGCATCATCACCACCACCATCACCACCAGTCGCAGCACGATGGCAGCATCTCCAGCATCGAGCTTTCTCACATTACAACGGATGACGTCGTCGACGATGTGGACGACGACGATGATGTTGATCAGGATGGCCAGGTGGTGGATATTGTTAAGCATGAGCTCGATGAAGACGGTGCCACCGGTGCTGAGGTTGACTATGAGGAGGTCTGTCTCTATGAGGAGGCCACTGGTGCCCATACAAGCGTTGATTGCGAAATGGGTGTAGGTGATGGAGTGGATGGGAGCAGCGATGTCACCGACAGCAAGAGTTTCCACTACATTGATGCTCATGATTTTTGCATAGCCGACATTGAGTCCCAAACAGAAGCCCAAGTACGTGGACAGCATCACTTCAGCAGCCACTCCGCAACTATTCCGAGCAGCTCCAGTGTCGTGTCCAACAGCGTACTCAGCGGTGGCGCAGTTGTGGCCGATGCCAAACTAAAGAATCTCACGCTGGTTACCACAACGGCTGCCGCCCCCAGCACCCATCGCCACGATGGCGCGCATCAGCAGATCGCGCTGGTCGATGTCACAGAGGCCACCAGCACCAGCGTGACCATATCAAGCACACCAGCTGTCGCTCTGACAGCCGCCACAGTGACAACTACAGCGGCAGCAGCTCTTTGCAATACAACATCGTTTACCACCCCCACGGCCGCCATACTCCAGCTGCCGCCATTGACCTCCGCCTCTCTGAGTGGCGCCGGTACGCCCATAAATACAGTGAGCGCGGCAGCAAGCAGCACATTCATTACTGAGGAACAGCAGCACTCGAATGCGCTGGCTAAGCGGGATGAGCTGGACTTGTTCTTTGATTTTCTAAAGAAGAAGATGCAATGCTTCTCCCGTACCCAGATCACGCACATACAAATGGAGTTCTTGAATTGTGTCATGCGACAGGAGGTTGCAGAGCAGGATCCCAAGGATTAGATGAGCGCTCACCACATAAATAAATACTTCGACACACCCCCACGTATATACTTAGATATTGAAATAATATAGTTGCATAATGCAGGGTTAAATTTCATACCGTTTCCAGTTACTGCGGTCGTTTAGTGTTCTATAGCTCTAGCTCGATTTACTCTTTACTTATGTATGTTGTCGTCTATAGCCAAGTGTGCCCGCCACCTCGGGCACAATTTTTCCAAACTTAATGTAAAATAAATTACATACATGCCACAACAAGGAAACACCTGACTTATTTATTTCCTTTGATTAATAGTGTTGGCGTGGGGCGTTGGGGGTGAAAGTCCAAAAACCGCAAGGGAAGTAAAATGGCGTCTGCTTTCCTTTTCACTGTGACGTGACTCGCACGTATATATATATTCTTCACTTGTATGACAATTTGAAACTAAACTTAACCTAATTGCAGTGGCGCTTAGCTGCCCATATGAAAGAGGGAGAGGCCGCCGACGCTAGCAGCGCTCTGCCAGCAGATGTTGCTGGCAAGCGTTGCCATGTCAACACTGGCAGAGTGCTGCCACATCAACATTCTCCCCCCCCTGCAGGATGCGGGAAGACTTCAGTGGCACGCGCCAGAAATGACCCAGCCCAGCTGGGTCTGTTGAGCCGCCGGGAAGCCGTCGCTGGCAGGTACTATCCCTGGCATGAGAAGCTCCTGATACAAACTAGCGCCCAGTACGATGAAAATGGAGGCTGGCGTGCACCAGTCGTCGTCGGCCAGCCGCACGTTCCCGTAGCGCTCAGGCGACGGTCTGTCGACGGTCCGAACGGGGAGCCTGTAGCGAAGCTCCGGGGCCACCTCGAGCGTTACCTCGCGGCGCCAGCTAGTCGTCCTGGATGCCACGGTCACCAGGCACACCTCGCCTCCCTCGGTGATCTGACTGCGGATACCCAGGGCCCTAGCCCAGGACCTGTCAATAGCGCTCGTCGGTGCGCAGACGTTGAGCACGGCCTTCACGGTCCAACGCTTGCTGCCGCCGGACAGGTATATGGACGCTGTGGGCGCGATCGCAGTGCCCCACATGCTCTCCCTGTTGAGAGCCAGTGACTCGGGGCCTGCTGAATTGGAGAGGGGCGAGCGGGAGTTGCTCGGTGTACGGGAGCGGCGTGGCGTGCGGGATTGGCTCCGCGCGCGCCCGTGGCTAAGGGAATGGAAGCGGCGTGGCGAGCGGATGCGGCTCGGTGAGCGGGAGCGGCTTGGCGTGAGGCTGCGGCCAGGTGAGCGGGAGCGGCTCAGCGTGAGGCTGCGGCCAGGCGAACGGATGGGGCGTGGCGAGCTGGCGCGTGGCGAGTTGGCGCGTGGCGAGTTGGCGCGTGGCGAGTTGGCGCGCCGGCGTGGTCGGTTCCGACGGTGCGGACGGGAGCGCCGCCCTGAACGCGTGTGATGCGCCGCAGAGTGCAGCATTGTGTGATGCGGCTGCCCGCACTCTTGGCAGCGGGCCCCACTTCGGCAAGTACCGCCCGAATGTTCATGTGCCAGGCAGTTCAAGCAGTACTGGTTGATGAGCACCGCCCGTGCTCGCTTAATCGCGGGCAGCGCCAGGAACCGCGGGCACTGGCGGAGTGGGTGCACACCGCGGCACAGCCGGCATCGGTAGGAGCTCAACCCTGGTGGCGTCGTTGCGGTGGGAGCCTTCACTGGACGGCGAGACGGCATAGCGACGGGCCTAGAAAAGAGATGGTAGGGGGAGTTAGCGGTTGCGGTAGTTGGAGAGAGGTGAGGCACGTGGTTAGTAGCGCTAATTGGAAAGAGTGGGCAGGAGAACCAGCTTAGCGACTGGCCGTCGGACGACGCCACGAGCAGTGCGGATGTCAACCACTCGCACCTTGGCGTCGTGGCCGGGATAAGCGGTCTGGACCCTTCCGAGGCGCCATTCGTTGGCCGGAACATTTTCCTCCATGATGATGACCATGGCGCCTGGCTGCAGGTCCTCCTGTGGCTGCTGCCATTTATTGCGCTTGTGCAGCTCCTTTAGATATTCCTCCTTCCATCGGAGGCAGAACTGCTGGCTGAGCGCTTTGAGCCGCCGCCACCGGTTCATGATCGAACCTGCCTCCTGCTCTATCTCCGGTTCGGCCAAAGAGAGGAGGGGGCCACCGGTCAGGAAGTGGCCTGGAGTTAGCGCCAGCAAATCCGTGGCGTCCTCGGACATAGGGGAGATCGGGCGCGAGTTGAGGACCGCCTCAATCCTACACAGAAGAGTGGACAGCTCCTCAAAGGTGTACTTATAGGTGGATGCCGCCTTGTAAAAGAGCGCCTTAAAACTCTTAACACCTGCCTCCCAAAGGCCACCCATATGAGGTGCGCCGGGCGGGATGAAAGACCAGGAAAGGATCTGGGTCCCATAGGAGGCAGTGACCTGGGCTCTGGTAGCCTCTAGGAAGTCGCGCTCAAGTGCCCTAGACGCCCCGACGAACGTCTTGCCGTTGTCGGAGTGGATCCGTTTAGGGCATCGGCGTCGCGCTACGAAACGCGCGAAAGCGGCCAGGAACTTCTCCGTAGTGAGATCGGATGTGGCCTCCAAATGGATTGCTTTCGTGCAGAAGCAGACGAATACGCACACGTAGCCCTTGGTAATTAGGCACGCCCGTCCGGTATAATTCTTCACCTCGAACGGCCCCGCAAAGTCGATGCCGGTGTGGGTGAAGGGCGGAGAAAAGGTGCTTCGTGGCGCAGGAAGGCTTCCCATCAGCTGGTTCTGCAGCCGCTTTTTAAAGATGACGCAGACCCTGCAGGAGTTTACGGTGGCCTTGACTAGATTCCGGAGCTTGGGAATCCAGTACTTGGACCGCACGAGGCTTACCGTTAGCTGGTTCCCGCTATGGAGCGATATTCGATGCGTAAAACTCACGAGGAGCCGCGAGAACTTGCAGCTGTACGGCAGGATGATGGGGTGGCGCTCGTCGTACTTTAACGAGGCCGAGGCGGAAAGCCGACCGCAGGAACGGATGATTCCCTGCTGGTCCATGAATGGGTTTAGGTTGATGATCGTGCTGCCGGATGCCACCTTCTGGCCGCCGGACAGGGCACGGTACTCTTGGTAGTACTCGGTCCGCTGGGTGCAGACCACCAGTCTACGATGGGCCGCCATCAGCTCCGGATGGGTGACCTCCTTGGACAGCGGAGCGGGAAGCTTCTGGCAGCGCAGCACAAAACGTTGGACATACGCCATCACCCTGAGCGCTCTCCCAAAGTCGGAGAAACGCTCGAGGAAATCGGGAGCTTTGGGCAATGTCGCGAGATGGGTCCGGATAGGACGCTGCTCGAGGGTGGCCTCCTGGGGCACCGGCTCCGGCACGGGCCAACTTCCTCGAGGCGCCTGGAGCCAAGCCGGTCCGTGCCACCACAGGCTGCTATCCGCCAAATCCTGCGGCGCAACGCCTCGGCTCGCAAGGTCAGCCGGGTTGTGCTCGGAGCGCACGTGCAGCCAATCCTTTACATCCGTGGCTTGAGCGATCCTGGATACGCGATTCGCCACAAAGGTCGTCCAATTGCACGCTGGCTTGCGAAGCCAGGCCAACACAATAGTGGAGTCGGTCCAGCACGCCGTTGGATAGCTGCTGAGTGGAAGGTGGGGCAGGATAGCTGCACACATGTCCGCTAGGAGGACGGCACCGCACAGTTCCAAGCGCGGCAGTGACACCGTCTTGACTGGCGCCACCCTGGTCTTGGATACCAGGAGATGGACCTGCACTTGCCTGTGCGTCTCGACGCGCAAGTAGATGGCCGCCCCGTATGCCTGCTGCGATGCGTCACAAAAACCGTGGTATTGAAACGTACCTTGTGGGCGAAAATGAATCCACCGTGGGATCCGGATCCGGTCTAGCGTGGGATAACTCCGCAGGAACTCGTTCCACCTCTGCTGCAGCTCGGAGGGGAGCGGATCATCCCATCCGATTCCGCTGAGCCAGATTTCTTGCATAAAAATCTTGGAACGGACAATAATTGGCGCCAGCCATCCGGCGGGATCGAACAGCCTGGAAATCTGGGCCAGGACCTCCCGTTTGGTGAATGAGGACCCTTCCTCCAAAGCGGATGCGATGAACAGGAACTCATCGTCGGTGGCCTTCCAGCGGATGCCCAGCGTCTTAGTCATGCTGGCATCCTCAATGTCTAAGAAGTCGGCGCGCAGCAGATGCTCTGGTGGGATGCCGCGAAGAATGTCCTTGTTGTTGGCGACCCACTTGCGCAGTGGGAAACCTGCTGCGCTGAAAGCCGCTCGTATCTCTCGTATGGATGAGAGTGCTTCCTGCTTCGTATGTGCTCCGGCCAGGACGTCATCCACATACATGAAGTCCGTGAGGACCCGGCTGGCGAGCGGATACTGCGCCTTGGAGTCTTTGGCAAGCTGCAGGAGCACGCGGATGGCCAGGAAAGGCGCACAGTTCACCCCGAAAGTGACTGTTTGGAGCTCGAAATCCCGCAAGTCACCTGCCGGATCGCGGAACAGGATTCTCTGGAACCGGGTATGTGCGGGGTCGACCAGAATCTGCCGATACATCTTAGTGATGTCGGCACTGAAAACGTGCTGGAAAAAACGCCACTTCAACACCTGTAAAGTCAGGTCGGCCTGTAGGACGGGCCCCGTGTGAAGTACGTCGTTTAAGCTGTTCCCGTTGGACGACGGGCAGGATGCGTTGAAGACCACGCGGACCTTGGTCGTGGTGCTGTCCGGCTTCAGCACCGCGTGATGGGGCAGGTAAAAATTGGCGTTGTCCGTTGGAGGAGGGACAGGGCGCATGTGCCCTAAGTCGAGATACTCGTTGATGACTGCGTCATACTGCTCCTTCAACGAAACGTTCCTAAGCAGCCGAGCCTCGTTCTTGAGGAACTGGGCCATCGCGATGGATCTAGAATGGCCCAGTTGAATGTCCTGGGGGTCCTTGAAAGGCAGCGAGACCGTGTATCTGCCATCCGGCCGCCGGCTGGTGGTCTGGACGAAAAGCTGTTCGCACACTGCGCCCGCTTCCTTCTCGCAACTCACCGGGATGTCCTCCACCTCCCAGAACTTGGTGAGCAGCTGATCCAAGGATGGCTGTGTGCTTGCTGAAATGCGCGTGGTGAAGGAACGGATGGCCGTCTTCCTTGCCGCCGCTACTGGTCCGGTCAGAATCCATCCGAAAATGGTCTCCTGTGCCAGCAGCGAGCCGCAGACGTTTGGCCGGGTGCCGCCAAGCAGCACGGCAGGTAGTATGTCAGCGCCGATGAGCAAATCGATGGTGGCGCTTCGGAAAAAACACGGGTCTGCCAACGGCAGGTCAGGAAGATCTCTCAAGGTTTCGCTGGATATGGGAAACGATGGCAGGGCGCCTGCCAGTTGCGGCAGCACGTATGCCGCCGTCTCGACTTCGCGCCTCGGTTGTGAGGAAGATGCCAGCTTGACACTGCACACCTTGGTCGCGAGCCCAGATGTGGTCGCGTTCAGCCCCGATACCTGGGCCTGCACCTTCTGGAACGGCAGCCGAAGAGATCTGCGTAGGCGTTCTGAAACGAAAGTTCCCTCGGAGCCAGAGTCGATGAGCGCACGCGCGGCGTAGACGCTACCCAAATGGAGCACGTTCACTATAGCCGTGCCGAGGAGGACGCCCTGAACGCTGCTGCTGAAATAGCTCTGAACATTCGACGAAGTGGACTGTAATGGATTGCAATGTGGAGGGGGAACTGATGCTGAGGGCGCCGATGGAAGGGAGGGGCCACGGTGTAGGAGAGTGTGGTGGCGCCCCTTGCACGTAGCGCAGTTGTACTGGCTTGTGCAAGCGTTTAGTTGGTGCCCTCGGGCGAAACAATTCATGCAAAGCTTCTGATTCTTGATCACCTTGCATCGGTCCTTGACCGACATCTGCAGAAAACGCGGACACAGGCGCACGGGGTGGTTCTCCTTCGAGCAAAGATTACAGGTCTGCGGACTGTTGCGGACCTTCGTCTCGAAAGAGTTGACTCTCCTCGCAGCCGGCTCCTTTTGAGCTGGCTTTGGAACGCGGGTGCGGAGGCCCAGGGTCGCATCATTTATCGCTTCCAATGTGCGATAGCGATCCGAGAGGAACTGATTCATGTCGCTCCAGGGCGGAATTTCGGACTTGTCCTTTACCGACTGCTCCCATAAGGAAAGGGTAGCTGGAGGAAGCTTGGTGGCGCAGAAAAACACCAAAAGGCAATCCCAGTCCTGGGTGCCAATCTTGGCATTCTGGACAGCCGTTAAGCACCCTTGGATTGTGCTCTGGAGCTCCTTGATGGCGATGCCACACTCCGAAAGAATAGGCTGGAGGTTGGCGAGGACCTTGAGCTGACTGTTGACCAACAATCGCTTGTTTTCGAAACGCTCAGTTAGGTTTTTCCAAGCTGAGGCGAAACCGTCGTTGGTCAGTGGGGAATTACGCACGATGTCCTTCGCTTCGCCGCGAGTTTTGGAGAGGAGGTGGTAAAGTTTTTCCACCTCTGTCAACCGCTGGTTGCGAATGTACAACGCGGTGAAAAGGTCCCTGAACGTGGGCCACTTCAGGTAGTCGCCAGTGAAAACCTCGGTGTCCACTGGCGGAAGGATACAGCCCCTGACTGGGGGCTCGGGACTTGGAGCGGGAGCGCTGCTCCGCGCGGACGCGTCTTGTATCCGCGTGGTGAGCTGAGTGGCGCACCGCTCATAGACGCGGTAGCAGTGATCATACTTCATCTGTAAGGCCTGCTTGTCGGAATCGCTGGACTCTGATTGGCTCAGAGCCCGGAAACAGCGCCGACGCTCTTGCTGAACCTGTTCCCACAGGGCTTTGACTTGGTCCAGTTGGATCTGCTGCGTGACAAGTGTCACGGCTGGGTCGGACGAAGAAACTAGTGCCTCAAAATGGCACAGGTCATCGCTGACCGAAATGAATTCGTCCAACACCATTTCGATCGTTTTGGAAGCGATCCGAACAGCTGCTCGAGTAGACGGAACGGGTTTCGCAATTCTGGGCACCCTCACAGAGAGCTGTGGCGAACAGCTGGTCTTCCTTGGAGAAGGAGACGAAAAAGCGTTCACGGACAAATGTGATTTGGGGCTGCCCTTCTTGGCGGTGGAAGGCGAAGGTTTTTTCAACAACAAGCGTGAACCCGGACTGCTCCTCTTGGAGGTAGAGGGCGAAACCTTCTTCAACGACGACGGTGGTTTCGGAATAACCCCTTTTGACGTCGACGGCGAAACTGTTTTTACAAGGGACGGTGTCGGAACCGAACTGGATTGCGCGTCAGAAGAAGGAACGGCCAAACGCTGAGAAGTGGATGGGGCGACCGAGGTAGACGGATGGACTAAATGCTTCTTCGTGTCCTCCTCGCCTTCACTGGGCATACTAGGCTCTCACACGAGCCTGCTAGAGTGGGCCCACTTGAGGCAGGTCGGGTATGAGTCCGCCGGAAAACGGCGTTGCTGACCGCTTATGGCGCGCAAAATTCTGCGACAAGTTTTATTAACTGGCTTATGCTAGCTGGAGGTGCTGAAAACTTGTCGGACACAAGGTCACAAGAATATGTGTAGCCACCGAAATAAAAGAGAAAATGGATTTCGTTTTTTTCTCTATGTTCGTTTTATTAAAATTAATTAAACACCGCGGCAGCAATAAATATATGTGCAATTAAGTTGCTGGACAGCTGCAGGCGGTGATATGCGACGAAGAATCCAAAAAAAACCAACAAAAAAAAACCCAAAAATAAATATAAATTAAAGCTGGATAAAATAACTGCCAGCTAGAGGTGCTGGAAAGGTTCGGGAAAAAGTCCACAAGGATATGTGTATTCACCGAAAAAATTTGGATTTATTTTTATTTGATTTTATTAAAGTTGCTGAAAAATCGCAGCAAAAACTACACGCAATTACGTTGATGGAGAAAGACCAGCTGGAGGCGCTGGTATGCGACAAGGAATCCCAAAGAAACATAAAAAAAACAATAATAAATTTTATTTAATTTATTAAGTTACTTTTTGGGATAAAGTAACTGTATTTAATTTTATTAAGTGATTTCCGATAGCGGACCGCCAGTAGCAATTGGTCACAGTGATTATCGAAATTAATAATTCAGCTGTGACTCGTTACCGTGACCAAGTTTCTGGTCACACTCCAACTTCGATGATTGTAGCTTCCGATAACTGATTTTACACAAGTGTCATCACTTGTTTACCTTTAATGGGTAAGTAAAAATTTTAAGTGCAAAAACGCAATATGTTTTAATTTTCGCACAAGCGCCGACGCTGGATATCGCGCGGGCTATAAGGAATACCAACTGGAGTGTTGGCACGTAGCGGGGAGTCGTGGACCGACCGGTGAGTGTATAGGATTGTGTTAGTAATTAAATATATGAGTGTAAATATGTTTGTGTGTAAATATTATGGTTCGTATATTTAGTGCATGCAGATGTGTTTATAGCGGACTCAAATGTATATAGGTATATATATATATATATATATATATATATATATATCAGCGTATGCGGACGTACGTTTGTTTCCGCTGCCGATATATGAAAACGTGTATAGATTTATACGCAGCGGCTGTATATATGTGTATGTGCATATGTTAAAATATGTCTCTTGTTTAATGTGCATGTATGTATATAAAGTGCATGTATATAAGCATATGTGGAAATATGTCTATTGTGTGACGGACCATGCAAAAACTATGTGGTGTGAATTGTGCATTAGGAACGTGCAGGTAAAACAGGTGTGTTTCCCACTGGACACTTGTTGCATATGGGAAAGAATATGCGCAAGTATGCCAAGATGCAAACGCAAACGGACGGAGTTCGGGTTGAACCTGCTAATTGTTGCACTTCACTTTTCGTTTAAGCGGACCAGCGCGGTACCGGCGTTAGACGAGATGAGGCCCTTGGATAAGGGACGGACAGCGGGATGCTGTTCCGTTGTGGGGGTCGGCGGACAGACCGACAGTGAACAAATATGGCGTAAGTATCGCGCCACAAGTAAATAGTTTACTTAGCTGCTTCTCCTCGCAGGTATCCAACGCCAGGAACAAGCTGGGGCGAACGGTCGTAGGCTGCACAGGACTTGGAAGGAACAGGAGGTGCACCTGAAGATCCGGCTCGAAGGACAATGTTGGCGTGGGGCGTTGGGGGTGAAAGTCCAAAAACCGCAAGGGAAGTAAAATGGCGTCTGCTTTCCTTTTCACTGTGACGTGACTCGCACGTATATATATATTCTTCACTTGTATGACAATTTGAAACTAAACTTAACCTAATTGCAGTGGCGCTTAGCTGCCCATATGAAAGAGGGAGAGGCCGCCGACGCTAGCAGCGCTCTGCCAGCAGATGTTGCTGGCAAGCGTTGCCATGTCAACACTGGCAGAGTGCTGCCACATCAACAAATAGGAAGAACGCGCCAATGAAATAAAACTTGGGGTTACCAAAAAAGGAAATTAATCAATCAGAAGAATGTAGCGGTCCTGAAAATTAACACCGATACAGCAAAGAAACAAAATATAACTATTTTAACAAATATAAATATATTTTTGAGTATATAGTAAGTAGATTCTGGGCTGGCAACACACCGAAACGAACGAAGTTTTCATATCAATTTAAAATGAATGCGACGCCTTCAAATCAATGGACCAGAAAGAGGAATTTTGGCTGATAGAGGTGCTGAATCCCTCTGAAGTAATATCAATAAACATCCAGATAGATGTCAATAGTACACTACACATACGTTTGTATATAAAGCCAAAATCTTTTTGAGCTCTTCTGGATAGAGCATAATTTTATTCGTTCATACAGACGAGCTCTGGGGCGCGCTCTTGGCATTTGTAAAATATAATATTCTTGCATTTTAATTGTAAAAATAAACAAAACTTAATGACGATACAGTTAGGTAGTAAGCGCTCTGGCAAATAAATACACATAGTCTTCGAATTCCGCCGGACAAATCGGAAGTGCTGCGCTTTACGCGCCTGTAACCTTTGACGATATGCCCTTCTCATCCTTCTTCAGCTTGGCTATGTGATCCGAATTGAAGTAGATAACCGTAATGGTTATATCGTCGCGGTACAGACGCACCACATCCTTCGGCAGCGACAGATAATAGGAGATCTTCGAGTGTTCGATGCCATAGTCCGTGCCACCCAGTGCGTGACGTATTAAATGCGTGGCCGCATTTGAATCGATCGGCTTACGATTAAGGCCAGCCCTAGAAGGACAGAAAGAAAAGGTTAATAGAAACTAGTTTCATTTGCTCAAACAGTTCGTGACTTACTTGCGCTCTGCAAGCTTATCCGATATTTCCTGCAAGGTGACATCACCATTTTCCAGACGCATCGGCTCTTGGATCTTTTTCGAGTTAACGTGCTGACCCACCAGACTGACGACCTCGGATGGCGATAAAAAATCCCACAGGCCATCGCTGGCAATGACTAGAAACTTATCGTTGACATCCAGCTCATGATGTTGCACATCTGGCCGGGCCGTCAGGTACGGAGGCGTAAAATAATGTGGCGGCATCATGTGTTCGCCAAACATGGGCACTACTTGTTGTTGCAGTGTCTCTACGGACCACTTATAGCGATAATCGCCGAAGGCACGCAACGGCGCCAGCTGACTGAGCAGGCGACCATTTCGAATAATCGTATCACGCTCCTCCTTGGGGTGTTCGTCCAATATGCGCTGCACCTCCTGCATGTTGTCCGCGTTGTGCTCAGTATTGAGTTTCTTTGGTTGCCACTGATTTGTCACGGGATCCAAAATACCCAGAACAGCACCGCAATCGCCGGTGCTTGCCACATGCAACTGCAGCCCCTCCAAGTGGACCAAACAAGCAACAGCTCCTGAGAAATAGGACGAATCAAGTCAATAAAGTGTTCGTACTTGACGCAATCTAGACGGACAAACGAACCTGAGATCATACATAGATGGGAATTGTGTGAAATTTAAAACGCTTGCACCTAATTTCAGATTAACTGAATAACAAATCACTCAAATATCGCTTTCAAAGTAACTGCCTCACTACTTCTGCCCATTTTTTCCACGAAAGTTGTATGCAAAGGAAATAATAGAAGCTGCTGGGTCTGAACTGTATGGAGCTGTTGTGGTTTAATATTTCAAGTGAAGATTTTTTCATTTTTGTATGGCTCAATTGACTTTAAACAATGTTATTATGCGGTCCACTATCTAATTTTTTTAACCCTACAGTATTCCAAAACTTTGTTTTAAAAAGATTTCGCACTTTCTAGTAATACCAAAATTGTTATTAGAACTCAAGTTGGTAGTGAAGAATATTTAAAAATACGTTAATTACACATGTTTTACAAATTGAAAATAACTTTCATATTTTTTGAGCTACTTTTTTGTAAAATATTGTTATTCTGGAAGGAAGTTTCCTTTAAAATTTTGGGAAGATCTTCCAACTATTAGCCTGATTCGGAAATATCATTGGGCTTACCGGACAAAGCTACACCCATGGTGCGCACATCGTGAGTTGCGAGCGCCTCCTGTGCCAACGACTCGTCCAGATGGACAAACGCGTGCTGAAGCTCACTGGTTACATCCCGCTGCGGCTCTTTGATCAGCTCTGTTATGTACTTGTTAAAGCTGTGCTCATAGATGGGCTTGATCTCGTTCACAAAGTCGGCATTGTCGTTATGGCACTTCAGAAATGACTGGCTGGTGCAGCCCTTCTGCATTTTGTCCTTCAGAACCTGGCGCGGTAGCGTTGCGGCGGATATATAGCGGAGGAGACGCTTGGAAACCACCTGACCGCAGGCTGCTCCACCATGACCATCGAAAATGCCGCATATGAAGCCTTAATTTATGATGGGGAACATAAGCTAATATCAATATTTATGTTTTAATGGTCAAACCCACCATTTCTGAAGAGCAGACTAGCCTCTGTGCGTGAATCTTCACAGGGTGTATTCGAGCCTAATTGATTTGTTTCATAGCTGTGGATAACGCCGTCCAGTGGAAAATTAAAAATGAACTCGTTCTCTCTTAGAACCAAATTAACCTGCACAGGACATAAAGCAAACAGAATGCATTTAAAAAAAAAAAAAAGAACTAGCCCTGCCGGCATCGCGGATCACTTACATCGTATGGACTCAGTTGCGGCAAATGTGGTAGCAGTCGCAGCGCATTGAGGCTAATATCACGCACATTGTTGCGCACGTAGCCAATAGCGTCGTTCAGCATAAACTTAAACATCTATGTATCTTTCTATCTATATGTCCTACTGCAGTGTGCACCGTGCTATAATTAACGGTATTGAACCTTGTGTCCAAAACCTCTGTGAATATTGTTGGCTGGCACCTGGAACAGCTGTGAGCAATTGTCAACTTACAGTCCCGTCGCGCACGGCCTTTCGCCGATAATTAATGCACTTGAACTTTTTGTGCCCGTTATATATGTGTACATTTGTTTTTTTGAAGCTGAATTAGTTATAAAAATTCCAAGTGGGAATAATAAACGTCAATGTGACAGCACCAGCTGTGCACAGGAGCGTTGCCACCAACGGGTGTACCGATGGTTTAATGCTATAGTGATGGTAATCGCTGCGCGGTACTCGATTAGTTGAGCTTCGGCATCCCTGGTATTAATCATACAACCACACACACACAGCCACAATACGAGTCATTAGAAAAAAACAAAACAAAGCAGCTGAAATTAGTCAAATTTAATATACTTGACTAACGACGCATTTTGCTCTTGTCCAACAGCTGAATATATAAATAGTGCTCCAAATTGATTAAAGCGTTGTAACGCGAACTTCCGCGATCCGGACGAGAGCGTGTGCGGGCGTGCGCGTCGAAGTTAGAGGACGACCGAGAGGCTGAGGCTTGGGCGTCGTGAGCCAATTTGCGTATTAACGATAGTAACAAAAACAACTGTTACTGCAACTAACGCATCTAAAGTGTCGAACAGGGCCAGTGGAGTCCTGATTAGGGAGCCGCCAAACAGTAGACATTATGGTCGAGCCCATTTTTGAATATCAATTCCGATTGATACTGATTGGCGACAGCACTGTGGGCAAGAGCTCACTGCTCAAATTCTTTACAGATGGAAAATTTGCTGAGGTGAGTGGCTAATTCTGAATGAATGTGTCAAGTGCAGACAGACGCACAGGCGTAGTAATATTCATTACATAATGAAGAGCAGCCAGATTAAGTCGTTGCACAAATAAACACAAAAGGGGAGCTGCTGATGCTGCCGTTGCTGGCTGCGCAGCTGGCGTAAATAGGCCCACGGACAAATATGTATTTGGGAATATTGGTGTGTGTGTGTGTGACTGATAAAGCGAGCCCGCAAAACAACCTTTGGCAGACAGTGTTACCTATTGGGCGCGCATTTTGAAAATGCGAGGAAGAACACAAATACCCTCATATGCAATTGCATTTGTTCTCAACACATTGCATGGATTTTAAAAATGATGGTGTTTCAACTTCTTGTTTTGCAGCTTTCCGATCCCACAGTCGGCGTGGATTTTTTCGCACGGCTCATCGAAATGAAAGACGGCACACAGATCAAATTACAGCTCTGGGACACAGCCGGACAGGAGCGTTTCCGTTCAATTACCAAATCCTATTATCGCAATTCAGTTGGCGTACTGCTTGTTTACGATATATCGAATCACGCAAGCTTTGAGCACATACCGCTTTGGATGATGGAGGCGCAACGTCACATCGAGCCTCATCGGCCGGTGTTTGCCCTCGTTGGCTGTAAATTGGATCTGGTCAATGCTGGCGGACACCGTGAGGTGTCCACGGAGGAGGCGCAAACATTTGCCAAACAACACGGGTTGCATTTCGTCGAGACTTCCGCGCGCACTGGTGCTAATGTGGAGGAGGCCTTCCGCATGGTAACACAGGAGGTGTATGCACGCATAAGATCTGGCGAGTATAAGGCCGAAGATGGCTGGGATGGCATTAAGTCGGGCTTTGCGCGACCTAATAGTTCGGACTTTAATTTGGTTGTTGCCGAACCGGAAAAGTCGTCCTGTTGTTGATTTGAGCGCTCGTTTGTTTGCTTCAATCCGTACTCCTAGCGAGCCTTCGTTGTATTATCATAAACCACTTCTGTTTATTTGTAGCTATCTTTGGTATCGTTTAATTCGTTTTAATTGCAATGTAAAGGGCCATATATACAACAATCTGTCGGGGGAAAATACCTATTCATAAAATCTAGCACGTTTTGGTAGTTATGGTTAAGGGCCAAGTTTGTTGTCTATACGGCCTTGTAACGATTAAATTGTAATGTTTTTTGTTGACTCTTTTTTAATAGTAATTAAAATTTAAGTTAGAGCAAGAATGATTTATTTTCGGTTCATAACCCAATAATACCATAATGTGCATGCAATTCTATGTACATTCACACATTTGTCTGTCTATATTTAGTATGGCTTTATAAGTTTTACACCGATATTATTACTTTATTTTTATTTTCTTCTCATAAACCAGGCCATATTGGTTCAGTACATACACATACATATGTACATTGTCCCCTCGTTTAAATTTTCATTACACAAAAACGTGACTTTGAAACAAAGCTATTTCAGCTTTATACGTAGCAGAGTTTTATGCTTGAAATATACAAGATATACATACTTCTATATATACAACATATGAAAAAAGAATAACTACTTATACATACTTTGAAAATATAAAAGTTTTTATTAATTAATATGAAAAGTGTTCTCATTTGCCTGAAATATTGTTGAACTTAATTTTATATTTGTATATACATACATATGTATTTGAATCACCGTTTTCGCATTAAGGGCCCGCGCCGCGGGTGCTAGCGATCTGGCAGCTCTGTAATTTCCGAGTAACAGTAACCGAGTACCCGTCTCTTCACTTGTCAAACTGTCTGTCTTTTTTTTTAGTGTGTGTGCCTCATTACACCTTAGGAAATTCTTTCCCATATATTTTACTGGGATTTTGACAAAAACGTGTGTTAAAATTTACATAAAATTGGGAAAATTATAGTTGTAGCATAGCAGAGCAGAGTAAATGGTGTAAATTCGAAATTGGCCAACGTTTGATACACACACACACACACTATTCACACACCCTCCACTCCGCGAGCGCGTGTAACTTCAAATTAAGAGCGCAACACAAAACACATTTTCATTAACAAAATACAATGGGTAACGTGCTAGCGGCTTCGTCCGGCGTTGACCCATCACGCAACACTGTGGCAGCCAGCCTGGGTTTGCCGGAGCCCGCGATCTTGCAACCAATAGACTCTGCGTCCACAGCGGCAACCGCCGAAGGCACCTCTGTGGCAAAGGATGGGACTTTGGAGAATCCCGGCACGGTCGAGGAGTTGCATAAAAAATGCAAAGGTAAGCAATGTCATTCATAAAATTAATAGCAAACTGCTACTAAAATAAATGGGGAGAAAAAGAAAAAACAGACGATTTTGCGGTGTGAAACGGCAGACGAGTGATGACATAACCTACAAGCATGTGAGGGGGCATAGCTGGTCGGTGCCGCCGCTGTTGCGTCTGTGTGCGTGTGAGTATGCGTGAATGTGCGCTGCGTGCCGTTGGCATTTGGATGTGTGTGTGTGTATGTTTGTGTGCCTTCTTTTTGATTATGTATTATCAGTTGGTTTTTGTGATATAGCAACAATGTTCCATTAACATTTGCAATCTCTCTCGCACTCGTTCTATTACATTTCTCATGTCTAATCGCCGGCCTCCTCTGCCTTCCTTGCTATCCCTGCAGACATACAGGCAATGACCTTTGAGGGAGCCAAAATTATGCTGAACAAGGGTCTCAGCAATCACTTCCAGGTCTCTCACACCATCAACATGAGCACCACAGTGCCGAGCGGGTATCGTTTTGGCGCTACCTATGTGGGCACCAAGCAATACAGTCCAACTGAGGCATTTCCTGTGCTCCTGGGCGACATTGATCCTTCGGGTAACCTGAATGCGAATGTGATACATCAGTTCTCGTCGCGTTTGCGTTGCAAATTCGCCTCGCAGGTAAGTCAAAAGCATAATTCATTAGTTTCGATGCTTCAAATCACTAATCCTTAATCTTCGCTTTGCTCTTATATAGATTCAGGAATCGAAGATGGTAGCAACACAGATTACCACGGATTATCGCGGTAACGACTTCACCGCCTCCATCACATTGGGCAACCCCAGCATATTCACCAATTCAGGCGTCATTGTTGGTCAATATCTGCAGTCCGTTACACAGCGTGTCGCTCTGGGCGCTGAGCTGGCTTATCAATACGGTCCCAATGTACCTGGCCGACAAATTGCCATAGTTTCGGCCGTAGGTCGCTATTCAAATGGTGACTCGGTTTGGTCGGGGTCGCTCGGCCCTAGTGGCTTGCATTTGTGCTATTATCAAAAGGCCAGCGATCAGCTACAGATTGGCGTCGAGGTGGAAACTAGTCTACGTATGCAAGAATCGGTGGCAACCATTGCCTATCAGATTGACTTGCCCAAGGCGGATTTGGTGTTCAGAGGTGGGTTAACTGCCCTTTGTTTATGACACGTTAATTCTACATCTTTCCTTTTATCTTATTAATAGGCTCCGTTGATTCTAATTGGCACATTTCTGGCGTGCTAGAAAAGCGCCTACAGCCATTGCCATTCTCATTTGCGCTGAGTGGTCGCATGAATCATGTGAAGAATAATTTTAGACTTGGCTGTGGACTGATGATTGGCTAAAAGGCCCGCATGTAACCAACCACCCAACCAACCAAACATACATCCAAACACACACATCAACACACATACAACTTTCACATATGAGCATCATTCATCAATTGGCAATGCGGCAAAATGACAGGAACAACAACAGAAAATTGTTCGTGTTTTTATATTGACCAATTTTTGTTTAATTGACTGCAAAAGTGGTTTTTTATTGTAAATGTTCATAACGTAACCAAAAGCCAAGCACACAACTCCAGGAGCAAGTCAAACAACAATCAACATAAACAAAAACAACAAGCGTCGACAACAACAACTTAACAACAAATGGAGGAATCAGACAAACAATGTTTTGTTCCGGGGGGTACAAACAATTCAACAACAATAACACAAGAATCTGTGCACATTTAGGGTTGCTGCGACAACAACAACAAAACACACCAACTGCAGCTCCAATTTTGTTTATTGTTTACAAACTTAACGTATTAATATATTGAAAATGAAAAACGAATAATTGTTTTGCTCATGTCGCTTGACTTGCTGTCTTAAATATTAAAACACTTTTACTTTTTATGTGCCACGCCCTGCCTTATTTTCCAGTCTGCCTTCTGCAGACGGTCAACATTGCCTCAACAAAATATCATTGTACATTGTAAGTCGCTAACTACAAGCGTGTATAGCAAAACATGAAAACTCACTTGTGCGCATTTAAAGCAACAGGAAGTCGACAAAAAATTAAATAAAAAACAAATACACCAACACCCCAGTGCGACAACAACAATAGTAATTAATATTAATAACAAAAACATCAGCAACCAGAACAAGAAAAATGAGTATAGGAAATCGGTGGAACACTGCTTTATGTTTATAATTCTTAAATTATAAATTAGTTCTAGTTACAACAAATTGTTTAAACAATTTTAATTTGTGCTACATTGTCATGTAGCGGTCAACGGTGAGACAAAATAATGTCAGTGGGGATACCAAACTGTAACTAAAGTTATACTTAAATAATACAAAGGAAGGAAATTTTAAATATTTACGGAAATTATTGTTATTTTTTTGCTCCAACAGAAACATACAATTAAAACAAAAAACCAACCAAGATGATAAAAAAATACTAGTTCTTAGTATACAAACAATTTATTGCATTTTTATTAATTTAAACATTTCAGAGCCACGCATATTGCCTTCGATGGAAACATTTTTAAATGTTAGGTTTCTTGAGCCAAAGGCAAAAATTGATGGTATTGATGATTCGGAGGACAATAATTTCTCATTATAGTTCGATATAAAATTTATTATTTCCCTATTTGGCCACAGTTTAGTGTAGAAAAAAGAGATTCAAAGAAGTGGACAGTTGCTTATCCTGAATATAAAGTCAGAAACATCAATTGAAATGTTTTCAAAGATAAAATATATTGTGCTTTGTTAAATACAATTTTAGGATTTCCAGTTTCATTGCTGCTCTCTATTTTTGACATACATATCTATGTATGTACATATTGATGGAGAGCTACAAATTAGAAAACATTGTAAAACTAGGGATTTATCTTCAATTTTGAAAGTTCTTTTCAATGATAGTTTAAATATGTACATAGTTAAAATATTTTAGTTGCCAGTATTCAAATTAGTTGTAGTTTGGAAAATTACAGTTAAAGCGAACAAATCTACCTATGTACATGTACATATGTATATAGATATATGTAAGCAAAAGCAACTTTAAGATGGAAATTAATTTTTGAGAAAAATAAAATAAAACGAATTTAGTTAATGCTAACATTTTATGGTTAAATCAAATGTATTTTCCTCTAATAAGGAGGGAGGGTCTAGAAATTTTTGTGGGTGCATATTGAGTGTGATAATTAAAAAGTTTAAAATCGGAATTGTACAGAAACAAGGAGAAATTTTATTAAAACGTGCCTTTGCTTTAAATAGTGGTAGTGAAGTTAATTAATCATTTCTAATTTTCAGCAAATGCGAAAACTAAGCAAATATGTACATACATATGTACATATTTGAAAAACAGCAATGCCAGATGATTTGGTTTTTGCTTTTTAGATCGACTTCTCAGCCCTCCCACCCCGTACTTGGTGTCCACCTCATTTGCATGGCGCTTGCTGCATATGACAATAAGTGGCCAAATAAAATGAAAAGCAAAAACGCCGACGTCATTTTCCTTTGCTGCGTTTTTATCAAAACAATGTTTGTGCTCGATGCAAAGCCAACAATAACACAAGTGCACAAAGCAACAACAAAAACAACCATAACAGCATAAACAACAACATGTAGCCAAACTTTGTTCAATCAGCCAGAAAACCGTTTTGCAAGTGCAGGCGGCCCCCTCTCCCATTCATATTGGTCGTTGTCGCAGTCCTCTTTATGTTTCTCTTTTTCTCTGCTCTCCTTACTACTCGTGCCTAGGACACCGTTCAGCGCACAGTGTGTCTGTCCTCCAGTGAATATTTTTTAAAACACAGCTAATCTTGCCTTGCCTACACGATTTAAATAATACTTACTATAATAAAACTTACTTACTTTCACAATATCAATAAGTATAAATGACTTTTTTTAAACGTTAAAATTAATTTAATTTTTTGGTTTTATTATTTTACCTTAAGAAAGATGGACATCGAAATTATTTTAGATTTTAAAGCTTTAAAGTCAAATTGTTCGTTTAGTCAATTTATATAACAGTTTTAATCTGGACAAATATTATAAGCCCCAATGAATAGTTTTTAACTTAAAAAGCTGCAGAGCTGTTCGGCAAATGATTTGCAAGAATATCATTATAATACACAACAAAATGTTTTTCTAAAACTTAGATTAAGTAATGTAGAATTTTGGATATTAGATATCTGTATCTGTTATTTGGCGCACTGTGCAGTACGTCTTCCTACCTCCTCTTCCGCTCTGCTTGTCCAAATATGGTTTAGATAAGAAAACGTGTGCACATCCGTTGCATTTGAGCATTGTTGTTGTTATTTGTGCTCGCTTTACTTTTTGCATGCCCGCCCTGCGACTCCTTTGTCAGTCAATAGCATTTATTTCTGTACTTTTCCCCTCTATTTTTTTCCACAATGCCATTTGAAGTTTAGATAAGCAACTCATATTTGGAGCGCCCTCCCACATCCACTTCCACATGCGCTTGAATTGCTGCGAAACTTGCGCGCTGCTTTCAAATTCAATTGTGCTTAATGCAACGTCGAGTGGGAGTGAAAAGATATGGTCACACATGCAAATAATTTGCACACTGGCTACCGTTGTTTTATAAGCAGGCCCTTTGAATAGACTATGTACATACTTAGTACATACATATTTATGTATATTTTATCATAGAAATCTTATTGGTTTTAATTGATGGAACATTACACTCATGACATATCTGTGAAATCCTATAAATTTGTGTGAAAACTACTTGCCTGTCTGACCACATCTTAAGAGAAAGAGTAAAGTGCTTACAACAGGACAAACACTTGAAGGCTAAGGCTACTCTGACCACCAAGACAAAGAGACTGTAAAAAAGTCATTAACATATAAAGTAGCCGCAGCAATCTCAGTGAAGTAGCTCGCGGGTAGGGCGGGACGGTGACCAGCTACTAGCTGCTGTTGTAATGCTGCTAATTACAAAATGGTGCACTAAGCCAACGAGCAGTGGTCCGTTTAAGCTCATAAGGATCGCCAACAGTCGACACCACGCAATACAAGTGGCTGATAAGCACACAACTGTCTGTGCAACTTACACAAGTGGCTATGGAATAGGGTCCATAGCCTTAAGTTGTTTAGTAATAAGAATCAGTCGGGGTGTGGGAATTGTGTTAATTACACTTGGCAGTGAGATTTTTCATTTTCAACGACCATCCTTTGGGAATTTGAAAAGTGGCTAACACCAGTTTTTCTTCATAATATTTAGTGCCGATAAAGGACAGTTTCTAAAATGAATTTATGATTTCAAGCAGTTCTTTATTGGAAAATAGTATGTTTCACTGTAGATATAGTATATACACTCATTAAAATATCATATACGAACGGTGTCCCCAGTTGGGTAAGTTCGAAAATTCTAGTTTTAAGTACGAGTTTTGTAAGTCTTGAAACATTCAATCATATAGTAATTGAATTAGAAATTGTTCTTTGAACTTAAAGTTATTTTGCAAGCTTTTTTAATATTAATGTTAATATTTTCCAATATGAATAAGACAGTTCCTCAATATTGTATATTATAAATGATGAACAACGTAAGTAGATATACCTAACATAAGTATGTATATCTTTAAAAAATCCGGAACGGCTTACACATTTTAAAACACATTTAATAATATAATATCAGAATGTTACTATTGCTTTCTGTAATTAAAAAACTTTACGACAAATGTTTGCCCCTAAGATTTGGCCGTTTACTAAATAAAACTCTACAACTCAACTCAACTGTAGAGTAAGTTGTCGATATTAGGAACAAATTCCTGAAACCTTAAACAAAACAATTTATAATTACGAAATAATTAGGACGACTTCAAATCTATTAATTTTCACGATAGAATAAGATATCGCCCTTACGTTCCTTATTTTCTTCGGAGGCTTCAAGATATTGTGGTTCCAAGCACCAGAAGAAGAACACGAAGACTTAAACAATTGTAGATCTTTCATCGATGGTTCCATCGATCTGATCAAGAGTTCCACTGTATATACACTTATTACATTACATTACTTTGTAGAATTCCCGGATTGTTTCGTTTAGGTCAGGGGAATGAATAAATCTAAAAAGAAAACCTTTTCCAAATGATACTCCTTGGACAGAAATTTGCATTATAATTTTTTTTTTAACTTTTTACAACCTAAACAGTAAGCATAACAATAACAAAAATTAATTAGTAACAATAAACAAATAACAAATAAATGGATGTGGCACATTTATGTAAGCTGGGCCCGCACAAGACGACATTCGCGCTCCCCGCAGAGTAACAACAGTGGGCGCTCGGTTGGTTCAAGGACGTGTTGGGGCAGGGGCCACACCCACTGCGCCTGATCCATGTAGCCATAGCTGCGCTGCAGCCAACCCTCGACGTGGGCGTAGCTAAACAGATAGAAATGCTCAGAGCCCGGTGTCATTAACACCAGTAGATGGTTGGAGTCGCCGATACGCAGCGCTCGCAAAGCTTCAATGGGCGCATCCAAGCGGAGCTCTTGCAGTACCGCAAATCTTTGGGCTGTGGCATTGTGGGCGTAGATGGTAATGCGGCGGCATCCATGACAACTAAGCAGTATTTGTGGTTCCTGACGTTCGTCGGTCACAAGCTCGGCCAAATCGTAGTCGCCCTCGATACGCTGCGTCAGCTCAAAGTGCTGCGTGCTTAGATTTAGGCGATATATGGCCAGTTCTGACTGCTGGCCATGCAGGCCACTGGTCAACAGGAGCGTCGCGTTGCCGAAACTAAAGAGTCGCATCAGTCGACCCACAGCCACGTTCAGAGACTGCCAGTCGGTTATGCTGCAGTTCTTACCCTCATCGACGCGCAGCACGCGCACCTCGTCATGATCGAGCCTATGACTGTCCACGGCATTAAGCAGCACCAGACTATATGTATCCGATACGCGCTCCTCGTGCAGCTCCAGAGCCTTCACCTGTTTCCTCATGCCCAGCGAGCGGGATTGTCCACGGCAGGCGATGTTAATCCTGCTGCGCAGGCGAAGTGCCTGTGGTGCACAATAGTTGTGGACCTTCACGTATATGCCGCCGGGGTGTTTGCTTGACTCCGTTCGTAGCAGATTGGTGGTGTGATTGGATAGGAAGACCTTCTGCAATCGCTTGGAGATTTGAGCGCGTAATAGGCGTTGCTCGCAAGCCACCTCTTGATGAGGTAGCTGCCTATGAACAACACTGTCCCATGTCTCGTTTTTTGGAGGTAGATCCCAAGATACAGCCAGCGTCTGCAACTCGTAGTCTAGATATAATAATCGAGCTTGGCCCCTCGTTCGATTAGTCTCTTCAATTTTCTGGAGCTGCGCGCTTATATGCTCCGTGGTAATAGCTGCTCGTGCCTCACCGGCCGGTGCATTTGGCACCCAGACTAAGCCACCCTGGAATGTGGCCTGATCCAACACCAGGCTATCGATGTTGTAGTTGCGGTCGGTGAAGATGCTCTCCCGATAGGCCTCGCTCAAGTCCTTGCCATTGAGATGCATTACATGCGCCGGGCCGCCTAAGATCACGCCCTGATCTACGAACTTGGTGCCGGTGATCGCTTGCACATGAGTGCCATGTTTGTAGACGACATTGTCCAGCGCCACGTCGTTTATGGTGCGCAACAGTGGCTGCTTGGATATCACAAGCTGTTCAAAGGTAAGTGTGCCGAATACCTCGAGGGCCGCCTTTCCCTGCAGCGGCACACGGTTCTGCAACAAATAGTCCAGACTCATGCCATTGATTTCGCCGAGGGCCAAATCCCGCTCAACATTCAGCTGTGTGAGATGCACTGGTGGCATTGGAGCCTGACCTAATTGGTAAACGCCCTCCAAGCTGTGTTCATTAACCAATCCCCGAACCTGAAGATGACCTACGAAGGGCGCGGTGGCAAAATGTATTTTGGCATCAATGGGTGCACCACTGGATAGTCGGTACAGCGAAGCATTGAGTCGACCCACGTCGATGCCATTGAGCAGCTGGAAATGTGTGTCGTTGGCTGCATTTAGAGCTGCGCCTGTTTCAACAGATTTCGTGAATCTCAACGATCCCAGCACGGTTTGAATTCCGCTCGCATTCCTTAGTAACGCATCCGAGGCTAAATGCTCAAAGTCAATATCAATAGGAAGTGGCTCTTTGCTCCACACGCTGCTAAGGACTGGCTGGTTAAGTATCACATTTCCACTAATTTCCTGTTCTCCCGTGCGTCTTACGGCGTGTTTACGCAGATATTCCAAATGCTTCTGTTGAGAATTTAGAGGCGAGGAAGTATTCCATAGAGCATCACCCAGCACGATGAGATTACGCCACTGCAGTCGTTGTAATGCCTCTAAACGCGTCGCTAAGGTGGCCAGCTGGGGATCCACGACCAGTGGACTGTTGAATGCGCCCCGCACTGTTAAATGTGGAATGTAAACATCGCCGCCAAGTTGCACCTCTGGCTGCCGGACATCAATAAGGGTGTTAGCTGCCATTCCATTGATACTGGGCGTGTCAAGGTTGGATGCCTGGACGCTGCCGAAGCTATAGGCGCCGGTGATTTGCTGCGGCGTCGTGCGCAGCAGCGTGTTCTCCATGAGGGTGCTTATGTCCCATTCATTGATAGTAGGTGCATGCATAGAGTCAGTTACGGTGACATCGGCCAGAAAGGTCTTGCGGCCTGCAATACGCATATTCATGTTGCCATGCACCAAACGCGCCCGGTATGAGGACCAATCTACATCGTTAATGCTTTGCACTTGTAAATCGCTCAGGAAACGCACATTTCCCTCGACAAGCAGATCCTTGTGCAGCACTATATTCTTGTCGTCGTCATCGCCGGTGCTCAGTTTGGTAAACATATCGTCGAAAGGGATTCCATTAAGGCGCTGAAACACCAAATTTTGGAGAGCCGGCGTATCTGGCATCTCCAAGCGCTCCAAATGCTTATCGTGGCCACGCAAGTGATCCAGAGGCGTCCGATTAAGGCGTTCGGTATTTAGAGCATGGCCAACGTGTAGCGAATCATGGACCACAACACGTGAAAAACTTTTGAGGTCGCTAAAATTAAGACGCGAGCTGCCCAGCTGCGATTTGAGGATAAAGTCATCCACGAGCTGACCATTGATACTTTGCGTCCTCAACGAGTCCGTCGTTAGTGTCGCCTCGAACCGTTTTACGCCCGTCACATTTGCCACCTCACCACGACGAACCGCACCCTTGGCGAGCTCGGCAAGCTTAGAGCTGTAGTCCCGACAAATAATATCCCCATCCACCGTAGCATTCATGAATATGAGGTAGAGCGGCTTACTGAATTTCTCGACAGGCACATGTCCACCACCACTAGTTAAATGCCAATCAGTGCGATGTCCATTGATGTGGGCGGTGTTAAGAGCCGGTGCTGTGACCTTGGCGTTACCGAATGCAATCGTTTTTGTGAAATTCTAAAGAAAGCAAATATAGCCTATTAGCTAAGATCGTTATACAAGTATGTTTAAAACTTCCGTCTAAATTCTAAATTGAAAATATTAAATGGGCAAATAAATCTATATGCTGAGCTTAGATTACATTGAAGCTTTAATATTAATGCATCATTATATTATATTATATTTTTGAATATTCCCGCCCCAGAAGATGGAAGCTTTGAGCCAAAAATATAAAAACGTCACTCACCTGAGGCGTGTTCAGTAGCATATAATCCGTTTGAAGGTCTTCCTTTGCCAGGGACTGGTTCGCAATCAAGACTTGAGTTGCCTTTGTATCTCGCTGCAGATTATTGATTGTTAGAGATCCATTTATTATCACCTTGCCAGTATAATATTGCTGTAGAGGTGGGGCCAGGAACGGGTTCCACTGCCTCTCAGTGTGCCGCTCACTTGAACTGTCGTTGGCAATTAAAATATCGCCAGAGACGCTAATATCGTAAATTCTCACGGGTGCTAAAATGAATAAAAATGATTACAATTGAATTCAGAAATAATAATTCTGAATTCGGAAATACTTATTGACTGATAAGTTCTATTTAAATAGAAAGTACTTATCTAAAACCTAATTACTGTATGTACAACCGTATAATTTTTAACAATTTTATATTGGAATGTCTTAATTAAAGAACATATTTTAGAAACCTACGATCGTAAATTTATAGACTGACTAAATTATTTTATCCACTTACTTTCAATCACCGTATCATTGCGTCCACGAAACACAATATCCTCGGAAAAGTTCAAACCGTTCACCTGTGCCGCCTCGAGCTCGGAAACAAAAAAGGCTGACATGAATATATTCGATGTGATCTCTTGCGGTTGCTGCAGATTGAAGAGTTGCTGCACGACCTGTCCGTTTAACAAAGGGGTCTCCAAATGCTCCACCGTGGTGCCTGCCTGCATTATCAGACGACCTTGAATAGCAGTGTCACGCGATCGTAGAAACAATGAGTCATAAAATTCGGCCCAGGACACATTGTTGATTCGTTGCACGCTCAAATGCTGCACCACTGTGCGCTGCGTATCCACCTCTGGCGGCCAATGGATCCGTTCATAGTTGTGCGGTGTCAGCAGCTGAGGAGTTTGCAGCTTTTTGGTCACCACTTTATCTTTGACAGTCAGAATGGGTGAGGCAGTGCCGTCCGTGGGCGCTTCCAAGTGGTAACCTGCCCGGAAGAAGGCCTCCAAATAAAGTCAAAAGAAGATTCTCGTAATAGGCCTACTCACCTGACAGCAGACTTCCATTGTAGATCAGGTTCTTCACATGCAGGCGACGTACTTTCAGGCGATCGGTCGCACCCATCGGCGAGGAGTTGCCTACGCCAAAAGAGCGAACCAGACGCTTGTTGGTGCCGTAGCGCCGACGCAGCTGGTGTGCACGTTCCAAGAGCTGGGTGGGGGTGCGCAGATGCTGGCCCTGGAGATTCACCAGCTCAATGCGTCCGCCCTGCACGGTTACCGGCTTCTGAGAGCTGAGCGTGCGCCCCTTCAACGTTGGAATTAGACGACGCAGCGAATCGATGGTCGCCTTACGTCGAAGCAACACACTGCGCAGCTCATTGATGGTCTTTTCGAATTCATGGCGATGTTGCTGCACAACAGTAAGATCATCATTGCCCTCCAAAGCAGGGGCAGCCAAAGTGACATCACTGCTCAGCTCCACTAAGCGCAGCAGCGTATTGAAAGGTCGTTTGTAGCCTAGCACCACGAAAGTCTCGTTTAGCTCGTTGCGATGTGTGTACATAAGGCTCGGCTCGTTGTCCTTGGTTGAAAAGCCATTGTAGCAGTCCAGCCGAGCGTTGGTGAACAGAAGAACTTCTCCACTCGACCGTGCCGCTGCCAGAACTTGACCCTCTCCATCAGCAGCCAGCTGACTGAACCGCAAGTTCTGCATGGCGTGCTTCCTATAAACCACAAAGTGCCCATCAACCATCTGAAAGTAAATGCATTTCCCACTCGAGGAGGTTGCACACGCAATCAGATAATTGCGTCCACGAAAGCTGACGGTCAGCACATGCCGCGCCTGTACTGTAAGAGCTTGGCGTCGCTGAAGCTGTAGCGAGGAGCTGTCCAATTCGTAGATCGTCAACACCAACTGTCGGCGACAGAGATACAATAAAGTGGGAGCAAGTTTTGCGTTGAACCTTTACTCTTTACCTTGGAATGAGATCGTAGTGCGCGACCACTGATGACATACTTGGGTTGGGTGCCCACCACATGCAGGGTCTGTATGGCCGGAACTGTAAATTGCTCCAAGGGATTGAAGAATGAGTCCAACCACTCAAAAGTTCTGCAAAGATGCAAACGCATTATTGAATTGATTCAAGCAGGGGATTGAATTTGTTAAAGTACTTATTAATTTAAACTTAATAGGGGTGTTTGTATAATATCTATATAGTGGTTCACTTTATCGGCATGAATATAAACGATTATCTCATACAGCAACCTGGCAGTAAAGGCAATACTACAAATTTAAATATAATATTAGATGTACAAATAAAAAGCCGCCATTAATCAACGGTTTCTCATACAAACATTTTCACTTCTCGATCAAATTCACTTACCTTTCACCTTTGATTTAAATAAAAATATGGACTGCATTTTACCGGCGCTATTTATTTTGACCTGCTAGATACTGCTCTTCTACTTACGTATACTTTCCATGCAGCTTTGTGAAATTCACAGCCAACAAGAGCAGCACCCTCTCCTCCGTCGCTTTGATCAGATGCATCTGCTTGAACGTGCCAGGCAGAGAGAACTCTTGTATGAGCTCGAATCGAAGTGGGGTTCCTATGGAGGCTGCAGCATCTATGGCCCGTTGTGCAACTTGCGCCTTGGATATTTGATAAACTTGGACGCTCTCATCGAGTGCCACTACAACCAAAATATATTGTCTCCAGGAAATAACCTCAGCGCCGAGAGGCTCCAGTTTTTGAGCCTGAATGCGACCCGCCAATGTGCCTAAAAAGACTAGTCGCTTCTCGTTTTTACTAACGAACAGTTGGAGCAACTCATGGCCATGCAGCACAAAGATTTGCTCCTGTTCCGGCTCACGCATTATTTGAACTTGGTGCTCGTGTTGTATTTCCATGTCCATGAACGGCAACTGAATCTCCACACTGGGACCGACCCCATCGTCACATTTTCTGGGAGTCAGAGACGTGTCGTCTGGATGAACTTGCGTCAACGCCAGTCCTCTTGCATTTAAAGGCTGACCCGAGGCGTTCTGTCCACAGCACTGGCAAGTGGGATTAGATCTGAGTTTGTTGGCGCTCAAGCTTGTTGCTTCATATCTACTTACTTCTTTAAAATGATGAACAAATATGACCACAATATACAATTTTATAAAAAACATTTCACAAATTTACGCACTTTCCATTTTATACGAACACATGTGCTCTTTATGTTTCGCCAATTCTATTTATTTATTCACTCATACATATCTTTGTATGTGTTTGTGCATGTTTAAAAGTAACTGTACATAAAGCTCTTCTAGTGAAGGCAACAGCGCTTGCCAGGGCTGGCTATCGAGCATACTATAAGCACATACATATGTGTGTTTTCTTTATTCCGCACTTGAATGGCTGATTCCGAATGTAATATTTAAGAAATTAAAAAATCGCACTACGATTTAAAGAAACACATTTTATGTAAAATACAGTTTGCTTGAAATCCTTGAAATAAGAAATTTCCCAATTTATTTTAAATTATCAGAAATTTCAAAACTTAAATTACGATTTGCCATCACTTAAGTAATTGATATGAGAATCGCAGAGGAAGGCGGCTACAATATTTGTTTATTTTATTTAATTTATCAGAAATTTCACAATTTATTTGTATTTAATTTAATTTATCAGAAATTTCACAACTTAAAATTCGATTTGCCGTCACTTAGGTACTTGGTATGAGAATCGCAGAGAAGGGCGGCCACAATATTTTTATTTAAAGAACATACTTGTATATGTATGTTAGTTAACAACATTTTAATTATTTTTATCTAGTATTTACATTACTGTTTTATTGCCTGCATTAACATATAGCGCTCTTTCTTCATCATCGTCACAATTGGCAGACAAAATGACGTCTTAACAAATAATAATAGAATCAATTATTTAATTTAATTGCCGTACTATGCCGGATGTTTTGTTGTTGCTCCCTGGAATCTATCACAGTTTTCTAACATGGCCACATCTGCTAGTTAAGAGAGTGGAATCCAGCTGTATACGAAAGAGCAAGAAAGCGGAGTACGATAAAGAGAGCGTGTGTGCATAAGGATCTGTATGTTACCGATTTCTCTTGTTTTAACATGTTTTTGTTTTGCTTTTCTCCTCAAGTAATCATCAAATTAGCTATTTATTATAATTTAATTTCTCTCCTTTAACTTATATACAGTTTGTTAGGTTTAATTTATAATGGGCCAGCACAAGTTTTAAGTAATTCAATATCTGAATTTGTTTTATATGTATTTTTCAAGAGTCTTTTGACGTACTTATGCTGCAAGATCGATCCAGTAAATTGTTTTAAGGCTCCAAATGTCCCATTAAAGAGGGATATAAATACAGCATCATATGCAATAACTTAGACTAGAAATTGTTCCTGATTGTGTAAACGATGCGTTTGTAAGCGATAAATAAATAGCTGGCCTAGTCAACGGTATCAGCTGTTGCTGCGCAAACATATTCTTGATTCAAAGCAACATTGAGCGACTACATACCAAGGCGTTTGGCAGGGTCTTTTAAAATAATTAATTAAAAGTTCATGTTTGTTGTGGCAACTGCCACATTATGTACATACATACATCAAAATCAATAAGCATAGCTCGTGCCTAGGTTGCTGCTGTATACATAAAGCGATGTTGTCAGCAGCAGTAGCAGCAGGAACACATTAACACTGAACAGCAGCAGAAGCAACAGCAGCAGAAGCAGCAGCAGCAACAGCAACATTAGCAGCAATAACAACATCAATAACAGCACAGCACGGCACGGCTTGACTGGGACCATCAAGTGAAGTCAGTTGCAGCTGTCGATTGACGGTAAGATTATAATCGGCGCTACAGTAAAGGCAACGACAACAGCAACAACAAATTACAAACAACATTGACAAATGCCAAAATGTCAAGCACGTGGAAGTGTCTTGAAAGTGGGAGAGAGACTCCTCCCTCCCCCCCCACACATTCTCCCACCAATACACCACATATGCACAGAAATGTGCAGACGTTGACAGTTCATATCTTTTGATGAGTTGCATATGGTGGCGGCAATGGCTGCGCCACACAGTGGCTCGGATTCCGAAGGTTGCGTTTTTTAAACTTTTCCAATTCTTTTATTTTAATATAACAAATTTTTTACAAAAAAATATATACTTGTATAAAATATTTACATCAAGTGATTTCTTACTTCAACTATTTATTTTGCACCGAGTACGAAAATATTTTGAAAAGTATTTTTAGTTTTAACACCTTGTTATGTTACACCGATATCAACAATTCCAAATCATCGTTTAAGCATACAAGACAAATATTTTATAATCTTTCGCATGAGCTGGGGAATTATTTATACATACTCTTGAAAATCTTAGAGAGCCAAGAGTCAATTCTTTTAAAGTATGGGCAAGTATTTCTGCAATCATTGGGTTTTTAGCTTAATATACTATACCTTTGTATTATGTAAACAATTGTTTGAAAATTCTTGGCACACATACTAATGCATATATTGTTTGTGATAATATTTTTTTCGACAGAAACTTCTTTCTGAATCAATCAGCAGCAATTACAAATCATTTTCTTGGCATTGATTTGTATTATCAATGTATTTATTGATATAAAATGCATTCATACTCCAATCATTGTACATTGTATATTAAGGCCCCTCTTCTGTGGCAACTCAGAAAGCAGTCGCGTCTCTTGAAAGTCCCAGATGTACTTTTTTATATTTTTATCGCAGAATTTCTAAGTACAAGTATAACTTCGAGCAATGCCTAACAATGCAACGTGAAAACTAGGGTTGTAAAAAAACGTCAATTTTTTTGACATCGTCGATGTTTTGATAATTTGTTTATATTAATAATTGTTTATGTTTTTTAAATGTTCTAAACATATGTATTTTGTATGTATAAATATGTGTACTTAGGTGTGGTCATCCATTATTATTCCGTCCGGCGTCGTGTATTCGTCTCCACATTTCTAAGTCTCGTGCCATTAAAATTTGAAAGTGTTAAAAATGTATTGGTACTTAATAAATTAGATATAAAAAACCTAATAGGTATTGGAACTGATAACGCTAACGTTATGGTAGGCAGGAACAAAAGAGTCTACACAGAATTAAAAAGGAAGCACCGGCACTTATACAAGAAGTGTTCCAAAGTAAACAGGACTTTTAAAAAAAAAACAGAACAAATGGTTTTTTCAGCAAAATCAATTTATTTTATTCAAAATAGTCTCTTTCTGCTTCAATACAGCTTTCTGGACGATCCAAAAGCATGTCGAACGAGTGTTTTAGCTCGATGGCCGGTATGGCCGCCAGTATGCCGGTGCAAGCCTTTTGAATGGCCTCTACGTCTGCATAACGCTTTCCTTTCATGGTCAAATGCATTTTTCCGAAAAGGTAGAAGTCGCACGGTGCCATATCAGGTGAATACGGCGAGTGGTTAATGGTTAAAATGTGATTTTTGGTCAAATAATCGGTCACAAGCGTCGATCGATGAGACGGATTCTGATCAATTTTTGGTCGTCAGTCAATTTGTGCGGAACAAACCGCGCACACACCTTTCGTAACCCCAAATGTTCGGTCAAAATGCGATAAATCGATGTTTTGGAGATGTTCAATTCCATTTCCATCAATTTCAATGATGATTTCGGCTGATTTTTGATGAATTCACGCACAGTTTCGATGGAATTTTCGGTGATCACGAATTTTGATTGGCCCACATGTTGAACGTCAATTATGTCCTCACGACCACTTTGAAAACGTTGAAACCACTCGTGCACTCTGCTACGGGATAGGCAATCATCGCCATAAACTTGTTCCATCAATTGAGACGTTTCGGTAAAAGTTTTACCAATTTTAAAACAAAATTTAATGTTGGCTCTTTGTTCGAAGCTCATTTTCGCACCGATAACACAAACATAGTGACACTTAAAACGCAATAACTTCACTTCCAATCGATGAAATGTCATGAAATTCTCACTGGACAATCGATAAAGATAGCAGATTCTAACGCACCAGTTGTATTTACAAACTTTAGAAAATTCATGAATACACATTTTTAGGCACAATAGTTTATATTATGGTTCGAAAGTTCATATTCACAACATGGTATCTGTCACGTCTAGCCAGAAAAGCTAATATTAAAAACAGTGATGACACGAGTGATGCTTTAAATATAAAGCTTTAAATATAATCAATTAATATCTGGGACGGTTTTCCAAAGCAGAGTTTACAATTTTTTGTTAATATTTGGGTAAAATTGAACATGTTCGATATTAAAAACAAAAACTAAATGCATGTACATACTTATTTACTTACATGCGGCCAAACTCATTAAAAGCTTAAAGCCAAGATTGATTGAATAATCGGTTTAAACTCAAGTCTAATCGTCTCCAAGTGAATTTAAGATGATGGTAATAGCGTTGATTGAGTAATTAAATAAGTCATTGGTTACAATCAGAAAATTAACGGTTTAAAGCTCGCAAACTTCTGTACAACAACAACAGGAATAGAAGCAAGAGCAGAAGCGTTGCAATTGTTTAGAATGTGCCGGTAACTCAGCTCTATAGTAAATATGTATGCATGTTTGTGCGTCTTTTAGGTGTGGGCGTGTGTATATAATACGTGTGTGTGTGTGTGTGTGTGTGCGCTGATGCTCCTCCATGCTTGGCATATTTACGCCAACTTCAGTTATTTGAATTACGTGACTTCGGCAACAGTTCTATGACTGAGTTAAACACAGCAACGAGACAGGCGCTCACACGCACACACACACACACACACATACAGACACACACAGACATACGCACACGCAAACAACTTAAACTCTTTGCGATTTTTTAAGCACACACACACACACACGCACACACAGAGACACAGATACACACCGGCACACAACATGGGCTTGTGTGCGTATTACTTACTTGCTATCTGTCTGTTGATTACATGCACGTAAAAAAATATTGAAGCGCAAAAGGGAAGCGCCAGAAATGCAGCCATGGCACGAATTGGAAGTGGAAGTGGCCGCCCAGCGAACACACTCACACACATACACACATAGTTACATATGTACATATAGCGCGTCAGCAGTTTGTTGTTGGTGGTGCTTGTGTTGGTGCGGGTACTGCTGCTGTTGCTTCTATTTTTGGCTTTGAGTTTTTAGCCTTAAGCCAAATAAGTGTTTTAGCCAACGTCGACGAGACGCTGCAGCCGGAAGTTGCTACGAC